CATCAGACTCTTGAATATATAAGTGTGAGGGTTTCAAAACAAGAACGGACACTGATGCTAAAAAGAAATTTCAAACTGTGAAAGGGAAAAATATGCTCATCATATACGCAAAGAATCTCCAACAACACCTACACCTAAATGGGTCACCTAAGTTCAACGGCTAAAACCGGCTTTCTGGAGGTTCTAGCAAAGTAGATCCGCCAAGCTTTTTATAATACTCGAAGGATGACACATTATATCTTTTTTTTAAATATAATTTATTTCATTTGTTTATATCCTGTTCCTGAAAAGTAAAAAGGGTATATTCGGCCAGTTCAAAGTATATAACAGGCAGAAGAAAGCATCTCCGACCCCATAAAATATATACATATATTAATCAGCATGATGACAGAAATCGATCCAGACAAGTCCGCCCGTCTGTTTGTGTGTAGGTCTGTCCAAACTTGGTGTTATTATTATTAGCCTGCCCCCATTTTAACCCCACACATGGGCGTAGCCAGGATTTAGTCCAGGGGGGGCAAGATTTTTTTCGCCGATTTTTTACTATCAAAATATTTCCACTATACAAAAAACATGAAAAATATGGAAAAATAGGGACAAAAGAAATTCAAAATAATGAAAATTTGAATTTCGAATGCAATAAAATGTAAAAAAAACTTGGTAAAAAATAAGAAGATTTGTGATCGTGGAACTAATATAAATTTGGTCCCGTGCGACATCGAGAGTGTAAAATTTAAGAATTTGAAATTATGTTTTCTTACATAAGTGATAAATTTTTATTTACTCGTATATACAAGTACATACGTGTACATACTTTAAAATAATTGAAATCTAGATGAATAACACGGGCTGCGAAAAAAATAAAGTGGCGTGCAAACGGTTAGAAAAATATGTAATTTTTCTAATGGGTGCTGCTCTCAGTTTGAAAATCAATTTATAGTATCAACTCCAGTTAATTTTCTAAAAAGAAGCTAAAATGGAATGGGAGCCGTATCTGGGGTCGGGGCTGTTATCAAAAGAACGTTATGGCAGATAAAGAAATCTGAAATCATTTTGTTTCAACAGTTCAGAACTGAAACTGCATTTTCTGATCTGTTATACCAAAACTATTTTTAAGAGACAACAAGAAAGGAATGCTAAAGTCGAGCAGGCTCAACTCTTAAATACCCTGTACCACCCCACAAAAAAGTAATTAAATTAATTAATTAATTAAATTTAATTAATTAACTAAATTAATTTAATTAAGTAACTAAATTAATTTAATTAATTAACTAAATTAAATATAAAATATTCCATGCATGCATACATACATTTACATTTACATCAGAATCGTTCCTTATGCGTGTTTGTGTACTTGTACATATGTATGTATGTGTGCATTGGGCCTGGTTATATGGCTATAACTTTCTTTCCGATCATTCTATCATAATAACTTGGTATACGGTTATATAATAACTAACCTAATGTGACTACCACATTTGAGTTGAAAATTCCAAGAATTACGGGAGTTATAGAAAATCGTTAATAGGGGGGGAGTGGGGGGGTGGATCAGAAAAAATGAACAAACTCGTCCTTTCTCGGTCTCAGGAGAATCTGTATACCAAGTTTGGTTATTCTAGCTCTTATACTTTCGGAGATCCTTGCGTTCATACAGACAGACAGACGGACAGACAGACGGACATGGCTATATCGACTCGGCTTGTCATGCTGATCAAGAATATATATACTTTGTGGGGTCTACCAAGCCTCCTTCTGTGTGTTCCATGTGCACTCGCACAAAACTAATATACCCTTGTACCCTTTGGGTACAGGGTATAAAAATGCACAACGTTTTAAAATTAGTCGCATTAGTATATATTGCTGCCCGCTTTGCACCCCCTCGCTACGGCCATGACCCCACAATATAGAAAAGCTGAAAATTCTGAGTCGAAAAGGAACTTATAGATTGTACAATCAAGAAGTTAATGAAATACTATACTTACTAAGCATTTCATCTCGATTTTTAATGCTTTTAATAATTAGCTTTATTTTGATCAAATATTTCATCTAATTTTTACCTAATCTGAATACAACTAAACATTTAAAAATACAGCTGTTTTCAACAAGAAAAGTTTGACCTACCCAGGAAAGATTTGAAATAAAGATTAAAGATTTTCAACAACAAAAAAGAGTTCTGTGCCACAATGAGTTTAGTCGGTGAGCAGCATACATATTCAGTAAACGATCCAACTTTTTGTCTGGTCTCTTTGTGCTTTTGACAAATTACACAAATTAGTCATTCTGTTTAGTTAGTTTTTTGCAAATTTTCGGTTGACCCCAGTTCGATAAATGCTGTGTAGTAGTACATAAAGCCCGAGTCATTAACAGCATAGCAACAGGTTCCTTGTGTGTCTTTATTTGTTGTTTAGTTATTAAATAGTTTTACCAGCAGTTCGGCCACATTGAAAACAACAAATTAGAGTTAGTCAAAAATCAGACTACTGCTGAAAGTTTTCTAATTTATGAAACACTACAGACGCAGAATAGTCAAAATTTTCAAACATCGGCGTTAATTGTAGATATACTCATCTTCGCTATGACATGGCAATTATCATTTCATGCCTGGATCTGAGTTTTAAACTGCTTGGCTTACATACTGCGCCATAATCAGGGCTTGTTGCTTGCTAGGCTTCAAGAAAAAGCTCACGTGTGGTAGTTTTTCGTTGAGAAGTTGAGACGATTTTAGACCCATGGCCTTGGAACCGCTTCCACAAAATACTCCTATACTAGGCATTGTTTTCTTTTGCAGAGGTCCATAATATCGCGACGTCTATGCAGTTACACACAGTTCTCGAGGTTGGTTATGCCGATGCTGGATTCGCACAGTGGAATGAGTTAATGAGCAATAAATGAAAAAAAAAAATGAGGCAAACATTCGTGTTCTCGAGCTTTAGATTTGAATTTCTATTAATAATAATATTAAAATAAAAAATGTTAAATTTTTTTCAGTTACGCCATTAATCATAGCGTTGTTGCTTTTGTTTATACTTTTGCTTAAACTTTTGAATACTGCTGCTAAGCGATGCCGGGGTATACAAAAATTCATTCAATTATAGCTTCTGCAGTCTATGATAAATAGTTCTGAGCTTGTGCTTGTCATTCTCTGAGTTCCGATTTGACCGGCATTTGACTTCAGCAATTTCATGTTATTGTTAGTTCAAAAAAACCTTGCCCATTGAAACGACTGATTCATAACAAAAACTTTCAAATAAGTAAGCAAATGTTGCGATTTCAAATAATCTGTATAAAACCATCCACTGAATTATAAAATATATTCGAACATTTATTCCTGGGACCTTTTTAGGAAATAAGTATAAAACAGATGATTTTGAAAAAAATAAAAACATTTATGCATAAATATGAATGGTAAATATATAAAGGCTAAGTTTTAAAAATATGTATAAACATTAAGAAAATATTTCTTTTTTCCTTATATGATAACTTTCTTTTTAGGATTGATCTGTTGTGTATAGTATACTACTAGGAAATCATCGGGAGCTCACTTACCTACCAACTTTTCAGAAACCAGTAATAGTATTTATCCGGAAATTCTTTTTTTTTGGGAATGTTTACGATACTCAAGAGTTTAAAAAAACGATCGTAAATATGTTCGTTTGTGGATATATTTATTTTTGTACCGTTCAATGTGCCTTAAGACATCTTTATTGATTTTTTGAACATGGTCACCATTCGCAATACCATTAGACATTATATGCCAACAATATTCCCAACATGGAATTTGGTTTCAGAAGCTTTATAAGCAAAAAATTTGTCATTCAATTATACTGATTTTTCTCTTGTCTTCCTGTGACAGCTATATGTGTCCACTAAAAATTATCCTCAGGCCCCAAGAATGCGATGAGTAGCAATCCTATACGTTAATCTGTAGCATCATTCTTCTAAATTAAATTTTGGCTTTAATTCATTGAATGTCTGCATGTCTGCACCACTGTTCTTCGTCACATCAAAATTCAACACACAGAGATATGGCAACAAATTTGTGTAAATTATGTATTTGTGCATTTCGATTTCATTTAAACGAAGTTTCCTGATGGCCTGCAGCGCACGTCAAATATCAAAACGCGACTGCTTGAATGGTGGACTTGCTGGATGGCTTGCGCAATCGCCGCCACATCCACATCGCCATCCACATCCTAGCTGGCCAAATATCACTGATTCAATGCCTCACTATGCTGGTTGCCATCAGCATCTCTATTGCCATATAGGGTGGGCGTGCTCTGGCAGCCTCTCTCGTTTCTTGTCTTTTTTCGTCCCATATACCCGTACCCGTACCCAACAATTTCCTCTGCCCCCAAAATTAACATAATCGTGCCGCTGCATTTTGCGCCCCAACGAAGTGTTGAACGATCGCGCTGCAGCTCGCTGGCTGTCAAGTGGAGGTGCTGCCAGGCTTCAGGCTGCCGTCGGCATGTGTGTCCGTGCCCGTCCCCGTCCAGGTTGTGGCGCATACAGAGATGCGATGTCGCAGCTTAGCACTTTGGCTTATTGTGTAATGACGGAGAGAAAAGAAAAAGAAAACATGGCTTACACTGGCACATTGGCTAAGTCTTGTTTTAGTTGTTTTTTTTCTTGTTAAAATAAAATTTTAATAAAATGGAAATATGCTAAAAGAAATGTGCTTGATTTGCAAATGTGTGTGTGTTTCTTGTTTTGCTTTGTATATAGTACGTGTATATATATGTATGTGTATTTGTATATCAGCAGCATATCTTGTGTATGTTTCGTGTATGTTCAGTTATAAATCTCTTCCTTCATTTAATATATGTTTGTATGTATATTTATAATTAAGTTAATCTTATACAATTTTACGTATTCTAACCTAAATCGATACCATTCTGTTGTATAATATATTTTGTTTATATATATATATGTTGCATTTTTAAACTAAAAAATAAGGTGTATGTATTTTGAAAGTGGCCCAAAAAAGCGCAAGAAATATGAACATTTAAAAAATATATATATTTATGTATGTTTACAAATTGTTTTTTGTTTTCCTAGGTTCAGCTTTGAAACGCACACAAAAACTGTTACAAAAATTGTTTAGGAAGGGGACTTCTACGAACAAAACACACAAATTAAAATAATAATTTTTAGTTTTTTTTTTATAAGTTTCTCGAATTTCGTAACGTTCGTTTATGTCGCAGAGCAGTCCAAAGCGAGACTGCCTGCACAATTTAAAGCTATAACAATTTTTTTCTTTCTCATTTCTGACCGTTTAACATAACTTTCAGGCGAGCCTTTTTATTCTTTCCTGTTGATGTTTATTTATTTAATTTAATTTTTGTTTTGGTTCTTGCCTTTACACATTTACAACTCAGCCGGTTTTAGGCGTGGTGTTAATTAAGCTATTCCTAGTCCAATACCAATTGATACCCTCCTCTCTATCATTGTGGTGGTGCTTGTGGGGCTCGCGCCTTTACGACTCATCCATATAGTGTACAACATCACAAATTTTACAATTTAATAATACTTGCTTACACATAATTTATTTGTTATTCATTAATTACTTTTAGTATTGTTTTAGAGCTCGAGTTTTTAGCTGCTTGGTCTTGTTGTTAGCGCCAGCTCCGCCCCACCTGTCACGTACCACTCTTGAAATCGTTTAGAACTCTCTCCACATAAATAAAGACTTGTATTTCTTAATGGTATATAGGCTTTCCGGGCTTATGACAAAAACGGATTTGTTGCGGCGGCTTCGGGTTTTATCCAAGGCATGTTGTTATTTTGCTGCAAAGATTTATTTGAAAGATTAGTTGAGCAGCTCTTTGGTAAATAATCAACTTACAATCTACTAGCGAACTACATGCAGTTTAGTATAAAGAGCAAAAATACGTAGAGTAGTCAATTAGTTTAGTGGTTTGTTTGTAGCTACGATTTTGTTTAGTTGGTAAAGCAAGGCATGCACATTCGAAAAAACATTTTACCCATTTGCATTATTTTATTTAAGCGTCCAAGCCTCCATTGTTGGCTACAAGATACAAAATTCCAATATCAAATTATTATGATCAACTCTTGCATAAATTGCATTTGCCTATCAGTTTAGAGCTAATTAATAATTGTTACGAAGCAGTCTTGGGCACTGGCTCTGTATCGAGGCTTTCTCAAAAATCATACAAAACAAATACGAACGAAATTAAATTAGAATAACGACAACAAGAATATAAAGAAAGAAGCGATAACTTGGGGAGCAAGCAAAACTCCTGTAGCTGAGGCAACAACAATATCACGCGTGACACGACACTCACTTCCAGCTTGCAGGCGCTAGCGGCGCCTGTGCCTGCCCCAGCACCTAATGCTGCTTCGCTGAAGCCGTAACTGCCAATGTTGCCACCAAAGTGGCTGACGCCGTTGGCCTCATAGGGCGTGCCCAGCAACTCATGTGTCATTGGGGCTATGGTGATGCCCGGCGTGGCGGCCAGAGAATCGGACAGAGCGCTGCTGTAATTCTGGGCATAGCTCGAATAGATGGGCGTGCCATAGTTCGACAGGCTGTTGTTGTTATGGCCATTGTTGTTGTTGTTGTTACCTGCCGGTGCCATGGGACTATTGAAATATGGGCGTTGGGGCGTCTCGCTGATGATTTCCATATTGCGTATGCTATCGATGCTTGCATGATAATTCGAATGGTTTGGTTTGTATATGAGCTCTTGTTGTTGCTGGGGACTGCTTTGATTGTTGTTGCTGTTACTTTGATATACCTGCATGGTATGGTATTGGGTTTGATTACGATTGGGAACTGGGACTGCCACTGGGGGTGGATTTTTGAATGCACTCAACAGCTGAAAATTGCTATCAGCACTTGTCGAGATCTGGGCAAGATTCAGGCTCGTTGGTCGTGCAGGCTGCACTGAGTTAATGGGTCTATCAGACATGACAAACGAAAATTCTTTTGCTTGCTTTAAGGATTGGGACTTAACATGCACAAAAAGTGGCCAAAAGTGTGGAAATAATACAAAACCAAAAAGAAAATGCACAGAAAATAAATGCAATTGTCAAATGAGTAGAGAAAAGGGAATGGAAAATGATTTTAAAAAGTTAACATTGACAAGTTAGGAAAGAAAAAGAGATACGAAATCATTAGAGATTAAATGGCCTCATAGGCATAAATTAAAGTTCTGCACACGGAAAACCCGTCGCCATGTCATTGATGGTTAAACGCGCTGAAAACAGACACCTAAGCAGCGTGCTGCAAACTCAAATGCACACCTGAATGAAAACACTTACCTGTGACGCAATATTGGCGGTACTGACCGGAGCCCAGGGATCCTGGTTCATGTTAACTGCGAAAGGCGCCTGCTGTTTCAGCTGATTAATGGACGGCACCTGTTTAAACGGGAAATATTATTACCAATTTGTTTCGACAATTGTAACTTATTTCCAATCACACACGATCTCCTCGAAAACTTAGTATCAATTAGATTGTAGATACTGTGGCCAAAACATGGTTACATTAGTTTGCGAATTTTTTAAATACTCAAACGATTTTTACTTAGTTCAAATTATGAAATACGTTATAAAACTTCAACTTATTAATGCTCAAAATAATTGCTTTAGTATTGCTTATCTGAAGGATGTCTGTTCCGATAATGGCTGATTAATTGGGCTTGTTTTACAATTTAATTTTACGAAACTAGACTTGGCATTAATATTTTAAGACTTTATAACTTGTTTGTGACTTACTGCTGGTTGTTGTTGCTGGAATAGATTCGTTTTTGGTGGCATCACGGTGTCGCTGAAAGGATTGTACGCTGGCGCAGTACCGGACTGCGACTGCGGCGTAATGGGCTTGATTAGATTGTCCAAATTAACCAATGCAGAATTTTCGCCCAAAAACAATTGTGGATCCTTGAGGGGTTTCTTGGCGGTGGCGCCAGTTGACGGATGCACAGAGCCCGTATAGTTTGTAGACAACGGGTCCATGTCATCAAGTAGCGAAGCTATAGAAATGACAAAATAATAAGTTGTATTCCTGGACGTTTTACAAAATATGAGGCTTACCATTATTGTTGTTGGAGGCATGGGAATTATTAAGTTCGCCGGATCGATTGCGGTTGGTAATCAAATCGAAATCATCATAGTCAGGTGATTGTTTCTGCAAGAGAAAGTTATATGTGATTGCAGTTCTCAACATAGTCACAAAAAGTACACACCTTGACTGCGCCTGTTTCCAAACCCTTCCAGGGATCATCAGGGCCAGCGGACGCAGCCGCTGCCGTCGCCGCAGCTTGGGTCGGTGGCGCCCATGGATCTGCCAGTCCGGTTGCCGCTGCTGCGGCCGGCTGTTGCTCTGCCAGCCAAGGATCTGCCGCACTGCCATTGCTGGCGGCAGCTTGCTGAACTGGCGCCGCTGCCAAAGCGGCACCAGCCGGTGTTTTCGTCAGCCATGCTTCTCCTCTTGCGCCACCCCCATTTTGATTAGCATTTCCATTCGTTTGCAACCATCCCTCTGTAGAGGAACCGGATGCCACGGACGGCGAATGTGTGCGCACGCCCCAAGCATCGTTGGAACCATTCGTGCCCGCAGCGCCTGCGCCCATAGGCACGCCAGCACTCATGATGGTTCGAGGTGCTACCGTCGGATGCCAGGGGTCAACTTGAGGCGATGAAGTGCCGGACCAAGGGTCCGATAGCTGGCTTGCCGCCCTACTGGCGGGCGTGGCCCAGGGGTCGACAATGGCAGCGCCGCCTGCAGCGCCCAGCGGTGGACTGGATATGCTTGTTGCGCCCAATGAAATGTCCAGCAAGTCTAACAAATGGCTCTGGGGTTCCTCCTTCCTCGGTGCCGCTATGGGCCGTCCATTCTGATCTCTAAAAGGCACAAATTATATTAATATTAATAAATTGCATAAAAATAGAGTCCCTATAATTCAATATTTACAGCGTATTTTTTGTATACTATAGGATATTGTTGATGTCTAAAAATAACCTAACATTTCCTAACATTACTTACTTAAAGTCTTGTTCGCTCTGACTGAGCGCCAGCTGTAAACGTACATCATCACTGCGTCGTTTTGCCTCCTCCTGCTCGGCTTCTTCACGCGACATAGCCATAGCGAGTTGTAGTTGGAGCTCCTCCTCACCAGCAGTCTGTGGTCGCACCATTTCCAGTTCGGACACCGACTTGGGTGCTTCCTCTTGCCAGCCGGGCGGCATGTCTCGCTGCGAAGGTCCGTCGATGTAGCCGTCGCTGCCAAAGCCACTGGGATGCTGAGCAAAACGCTCTTTAGCTTTTAAGGCTTTTACGCGCTCATTTTTCAAACGCTCGTCATCCTTGAGTAGATTCACCAGCTGCTTAGCCTTCTCACGCACATGCGTGCCCTGATCCTTGCCCTCCTCAAAGTAGACAAACTCGCGTAACGTTTGTATCGCAAAAATGTTCTCCTTGCATTGTTGTGCGACCTTCTCCGTACCCGTCTTGATCAAATATTCCAAAAGGATAAGTGCCTTGTAGACATGGCGCCAGTTCTTGCCATGATCATTTAGACGTTTCCAAATCATTTGCATGATTTCGGAGAAGGCGACCACATTGTAAGTGAGGTCTGCGATCTCGGCCATAATTGTTGCCGAAGGGCCCCATGGATCGTTCGAGGTAGCTTCACGCACCTTCACCTGGGCGAAAAATCAGGGGATTAGTCATGTGAAATAATGGTTTCTTGATGGGAATTACTAACCTGAGCATCGGTATAGTTATGCGCGAGATTTTTGATGTTTCTGCGTAGACCGGCGACATTAACCTGCATATCGTCCTTTTGCTTTCTCACTGTGTGACGAGAAGAATGTGAAAGGGTTTTAACATGGCTATGGAAGTGTTGATGTCTTTATTGTTGGCTGTACAAATATAAACTGTCTAGTTAGTTTCGGCAGCAAATTTCGAGAATTTTTAGAAAATTTTGATAACGTTTTTCGTCAAATTGTTTACTATTTTTATGGGTTTTTTTCTTTACAAAGTTGTTATTCGTGTGCTTTCTGTGTCTGTGTGTGTGTGTGTGTGAAGAATTTGTTGTGGTTTCATACTTTCGCGACAAAATCAACAAACAAAAACAAACACGGTAACACAAAACACAAGATGTAAGTCCAATGTGCGGCAACGAAAGGTGGACTTCTGAGTGTGGAACATAGTACATAATTGTTTGTGTATATTTTGTATGCCAAAGTTCAACTCAAATTAGAAATTATGCTACATAGTGAAAAATAAGAACGTAGTATCTCGGGTGATTCTATTTTTATTGCATAACTGAAGAACGTCTAGTATATTTTCAAATTCATTTGATGTGAATAATCGGGCGGTGTAAGTAATTAAAGTTAAACTAAAACATTGAGACTTACTTTTCGTTTGTTTTTGCGTTTGACTTTGCTTTTAGTTAGATTTCTAGAGAAAGATTTTTTGTTTGCGTATGAATTTGCTTGTATTTGCTAGAATTTCTTTGAGCTTTTGTTTTGCTGTTTAAGTGTGCTCCAAAGCAAGCTAAGTATGAGATACAAGATAATACAATCAAAATACGTAGTATAAAAGTACATAGAGATAGATATACAAGTGAGGGCGCTATAGTCGATATCGCTCGACTATGATATACCCTGTACACAACTTTCGTAGCATTTATATATACGAGTATTTTAAATAGCTTGTCTTACCAAAGCTATTTTTCCATTAATAGATTTATTCGTTATTATTTTAATGAGCTCAAAACTACTCATAAAGACGTACAGACGGACTGTCAAATTAGTATAGTACAGGGTATAACAAATAAGAGACTTTTTGACAATTTGGCTATCAATAATAACAACTATAAGTCTTTGAAAACATAGTTGGCCAACAATTAGATACATTTTTAAAGATTTCTCAAATTGTCATAAAATTTCCATAAACTTATATTATTAATTTGAAAAAGGCACATTAAAGAAATTTAATTGACACATTTGTTATAGCTTTGCGGTGGCGTAGTCGTATGCTATGGCTAAGACATAGAAATGAAGACCCTAAATAAAATTAGTAGAAATTTTAAATTCAAAGCACTATCCCGTGCGCCAAGTTCATGCGCGTGCTCAGACTGGGGGGGCGACGCCACTGCCAAGGCCGACCACCTGCTCGACCACTACAGGAATAATTCAATTTGCGGGCAAACAAAATGTGCAATGAACACAAACGCAGTACTTGGAGCACAACAGACATGGGAAGCCAGAGAAGTGCGATGCGCCCAAGGGGCCAGACCACGACTATGACCCAACGACGACCAGGTGTCGGAACGGAAGGGATTCATAGGTTGCATCCGTCTACTATTTTTTTTTTTTTTTTTTTAAATTCCTTTTCCGTCAGCAGGCATGCAAATTTGAACTAAGCTGCTTTACATATGCGTCGCATATGGCAACAACGAGAACAACAGCAACAAACAAATATTCTATAAACGGCGAGTGCATTGATTTTTTTCTTCGTTGTACACCGGCCACGGCAATGTTGTATATTTATATCATCAATATATATTTATATGTATATACATAAGTGCACATAAAGTAATTAAATGCATAAAATGCGTTAACGTCTATTAATTGCAGGCATTGGCATTGGCAGAGCTCTCTAAAACGTATTGGAATGTGACACCAATTGCACATACTTCTGTTTTTCAGTGAAATGTGTTTTGTTCCTTACTTAATTTTGATCCCAAGATGATGCTTTTGGTCTGACGAGCATTTATGATTTGCAATTAAATTTTTTTGCAGGTAGTTAAGTCGTTAAGTGAATTTTAAAGGGAGCATTTGTTTACATTTTCCGTTTGTCGACCCATGGTAAATATTCGCGGCACAAAAGGGATACACCTCCATCATATATATGATAACTACCTCATCAAACGGTGGGAGAAAAGTTATTGAAACAAAAATTAGCCGACCGGGTATCAAGAAATGACTAATTATATTATATTATAATTATATAATAATTATAAGGGCTATAAACAAGCATTTTTAAAATACTAAAATTTCAAAAGGGTGCTCGCTGAATGATTCTAGAAATAATTGAAGTCAATCAATATTGTGTCGAGAGAATTGGCAGTTCCCCTGCGTCGACAAAATAGTTAATTGAGCGCTCTGTATAGGTATGCAATTTCTTATAAATTGCTTTGCTAGAATTTGCCAAACGATGACCAACTACCTACGTCAGACACGAGCACTAGCAATCAACTTTATAGAAGACTCGGCGTAAACAAACACATCAAAAGTAGCGAACGCATTCAACTGATAAGATTCGCTGGACTGTTTTTATAGCCGGTTCATGGGCTGAACTGAATGTTGTGCCAATTACTATATGTCGACAGAGAACAGCTTATAACACAGATTTGCTTAATGCCTTTAAGTATAAAAACTTTATAAATAATGTACTTGACATATATACACGCATTGGCAGAGGTAGCCGAACAAACATGTAAGCTGCGAGAACTTGTCAGGCAAGAATTTTCAGATTCATTGACCGAGTCCGATGTTGACGCTCATTTCGCACTCTCAGTTCAAATTTATTGTGTGTAATGGGCGGTTGTTGTTGCTTTGGTTTCGTAGTGAGTTTGTCCGACGATCAGTGTTCCAAATTCTCAAACCGGCACCTATTAACGGGGCATTGAGGCGAATGGGGAATGAAATGGTTTGTTTGTTTGCTGGTTTGTTGCTTTCCCATCATTTGCATCGAGCACAGATATTCATATACTTGTAGCAGACATATATGTATTATTTATATTTATTATATATATTATATGTACATAATTCAATTAAATGCCGGACCAGCAACACAACACTACACCAATAAACACCAAATGAGAGCCTGAAGGGGTTGTTGCTTGGCTATTTGAACTTGAGCAAATGAAATGTCCGAGTGACGGGAACTTTCTTTGTTGTGGCATTTCGGATACATATATGTATAGTATATGTATATACATATATATATATTTGCACTTGACTTTGTCGCGACGGCAACAACGACGACGACGCTTTTATTGCCAAAAACAATTTATAAACGAAAACAAACAGAAAACAGAGCGGTAAACACGATGGAGACAACACACAACAATACGAGCAAAGTACTTTGTTTGAGGCTATGGACTGATTACTGAGCCTTGAGACTAAAACTGAAACTCAGACACTGCCAACAACGACTGAACAGTTCAACGAACGTGGCAAAAATACAACTAATTCGAGCAACGGAAGCCAAACGGACAGTTTTGTGCATTAAATGTGTGTAGAATTAAAATATGCTTGAATTGAATATGACAATGATTTGTGGTGCGGAATGTTTTCGAGTTTTCTCTATTATTCACCCTTTTCACGCCAGCGATTAGCGCAACTGTGTGAATGGAATCGATAATGGGTGTCTAAGTGCCAATGGTGAAGGTCAGAAGAGTAGGCGTAAGACCAAACTACATCAAAATAATCAGGCTTCAAATACCCTGCACGCACTAAAAGTCTATTAAGTATTATTACGTTAAATATTAATTTGTGATTCTATTTATAAAATTCATTTCAATAAATAATAATATTAAATCCACAGACTATAATGGTATTTATATAAAACAAAAATGTTTTATTTTTAATTAAGTTATTTACATGAATACTTTAAAAACTAACAGTTAAATTTGAATCGGCTTATAAAATTTGTGTTGCTTCATAAAATGATTTGGTTTGGAAAATATGATCTGATCGCTGTACAAAGATATAGAAATGTACACAGGTATCCAAAATAATATAGAATCATTAAAACTGATGTCTAGAAAGAAACCAATAAATTTATTATTTTTAGAACTATTTGCACCTTCCTAGCAAAGGTTGAACTCTGTATCGCTTGACCTTTAATTAAAACAGCTCTCGGTGATGGTGACTATTAATTGGGATCGATGATGTTACTGCTACTTGCACGAAACCTTGGGTTTAATTATATTAACACGGTGGGGCACTTGAAATACATCCTATATAATAACAGGTTTAGTTGCATTACGGCCCACTGTGCATGTTAGTTAAGCGGTCTGATCAGCTCTCGCTGGGGACTCACTTCGGCTGTTGCATTTGTAAGTGCATGCGGGCGTAATTCACTACAATTTGGGCGTATGTATGGAAATAAGCAAGTGTGTATACATACATATATACATGTGTATATATGCGTATGTGAGCGATACTGTGCAATGAACTGTGCCAGTGTGCGTGTGTGTGTGAGGGTGCGTTTGTGATAACAAGTCCAGTTGCGATTAGATTTCATAATGTCTCAAACTAATATGTACAATATACATACATATTTATAAACTATATTCGCTTTACTAAAGTATGAGCAGCTCTATTACTCATTGGTATGGCAACATAAACCCCTCAGCTTTTAACTATGTATTTGCATGACTAAGCGGCCGGCGTGCGAGTTATCAAAATATCAAGCAACGGTCTTTATATCAACACCAACAGCGCGAAATGGCAACAACAATGAAGGTCGCTGTGTACAGAAGAGGCAAATAGCGCTAGAGTTATTTTTAAGCAGAAGACGCTCACCCGCATCCGCTCTGAATTTAAATAACAAACACATACAGATATTAATTTGTGTGTGATAAACAATTCAAATGAACCCAAGGGGCCATAAACATAAACATCAAACCACAAGCAATCGGCACTATTTTGAATCAATAAAAGTAAACGTAAGATAGAAAGAAAATAGTTGCTTTAAAATACTGCTACAACTAAAGAGAAATGTTGGCCTGGCCCAAACAAACTGCCAGTGCCTACGTAGAAGTAAATGGAGGCACCCCCCACCGCTTACCTGCTGCCTCTGCTGCTGCAATGCCAATGCCTGAGCTCCACTGTAGTTTGTTGCAGTGTGTTTGTGTGTTTGGCTGTATGTGTGAGTGTGTGGGGCACGGGCACCAACGGCAACTCCTCCCAGCTAGCTTTGTATATATATTTCTACGACTTTCTTTTTGAATGCGTAGCACAAGATAGTCACAAGACGATGACGACAACAGCGACAAATTGCGCGACTATAAGTGAGACTGCAATGCGAAGGTGCAGGTGTAGAGTATTGGAAATGCGAATATTTTAAGCTTTGCACTTTGCACAAATGGAAATACGCAGCATTTGATTCTCTTGTTTGTTATGGCGATGGCGCTCTGCTTTCTTCGCTGCCTTTCGTGGCCGACTCGCTGCGGTGATGATGATGACAAAGGTGTTTTCTTTTTTCGTTTGCTTTAGCACTGCATCAATATTTATGCTTTTTTTTGTCGTTTCTGCAATTGATTTCACTTAAATTCCTGCGTAAGCTTATAAATAGCGAATTATAAAGATGTAAATTGCACTTTTGTGTATATTTTAAACAATTAATTTGTTCAATGTTACTAGTTTCTAGCGTATAAAAGATGTGTAATCGTGTACGACAGTGCTTTTTCTGCTTCAGTGTATCTAGTGGTGTGATAATAATACGAAGTATTGCTATCGATAGTCTATGAGTGAAATCGAATGCTTGAGTTGGTAGCACTTTTCCGCATTTACCATCTGGCAACGTATACAGTGCTGCCCATCCACGATAGTGTCAAATTTTGTTAAGCCGTTACATTGCACCAGAAGCAAGCACATTCCACCGCTTACAAGCATAACATTTTACATAAAATCATAATAGAAAAATGCACATCTGGATGTTATTACGACTTTATTTAGAATACCATTTCATTACGCTCTAAATTCTAATTTCATTTGTTTTATTCGATAACAATATAGTTTGTGTATGTGCTGCGTTGCTGTAATTTTGTTGTTGTTTGTTTTAATGCTAAGTACCTACTGTTAGATTTTCAACATATGTGTTTTACAATTACTAAATATATGTATATGTATGTATCGCCATCGCTGCCGCTTTCATCAACTCTTCCACCCGTCATTCTACAGAGCCATCAATACACATGTAATATTTGCTTGAGCCCCCAGCATTTAACTTAAAACATATTCCAGTTTGCCGATGTCTCATTTCATATTATCGTCGCGTCTGTCACTCGGTCCAATTACACAATCCCATGCTGGTCAAACAAAATGAATGCATTTTAAAAGATATCGAATCGAAAATTCAAACAAGAAAGTGCAAGCTGTTCGGCTTTTCGATCATGCTTAAATAAGGACCGTAAACTAAAATAATTAACTTAAGGCATAGAATAAAATTTCGTTTCGGTTTCGTTGCATGTTGCTCCACCGCCACACCCACGCCCCAAGTCTACACCTGCCGCACCCTGCCACGCCTTTCGCGCTTTATACTTAAAGCAAATCTCTGGCCAAAAGCATAGCCCACTCCTCACTCCTCGGGCGGCTCTTCTGGTATTTGCAGACTTTGGGCGGCATGCTCCAGATCACTGAGCATCGCCTCATGCACCGAGTTAGACTGTGAATCCTCCTCGAGCAGATTCGTTTTGCTCGGCGGCGTTGGCGCAGCGATTGCTGGCTGCACCAGATTCGGTATATACTCGATCGTCTCGTACTCCGTCTTGGCCACTGTGTCTGCCACACGATCGTGCTGCTCTTCGGCTGTCGTTACCACTGGTGGCGGCGGTTCGAGCAGTGTCTGCTCCTCTATTCGGGACGGTTCGTTTATGGAGGCCGTGGCATTCGGTCTGTCTGCAATGGGCCTACGACTATCTTCACTGGGAGTTACATTGGGATTGGGCTCCTCGATGTCGAGGACGACGGGCAATGTTTCGTTTAGCTCCGAAATAGTTGTGGGCGTCGGCGTAATGGTGGTGGTTGTCGTAGGTGGAGTTGTTGTCAGGATTTCAGCGGCTATTATTGGCGCCTTCGTTGCTGCTGGTATTGTTGATGTGACAGGTGTTATTGTTGTTGTTGATTTCATTGTGGTTGATGCTGTTGTTGTTGTTGCATTGTCCTCTACATCCGCATCCACTTTGTTAACCAATACATCTGCCGAGGGCGTTGTCGTGGCCACCGGCGGTGCTATAATCAGTGGCTGGCTTAGCGTGGCTATGATCGGAGGCAGCAGCTCGTCCGCATTATTGTTCAAAAGAAGTGGTGATGGGACCAGCACTTGCATAACAGGCTTGGCATCCTCGGCCTCACCGGTTTTCAGTTTGGCTATCAGCAAAGGCAGCTCGATCTTGTAGAGCATCGGTAGAACGGTACACACTTCCTGGTCGTTCTCGAAGCATTGCGAACGGCCGCGAATGCGTGCATCCTGGGCCATCATCAAACGACACAGCTCGTTCAGGCGCACATCGCACATTATGGGATTATCTGGGGAAAGAGTACATAACGGTTTTCAATAAATGTATTTTATTTAAAATTTACATGATTATATTTTAAAGAACACCATGAATTCAAATACGATAATTAATTTCTTTTATTGTTTATTTAATGATCCAATTTTGTATTTAATATTCATCAATATTCATAAGATTTCATTTTGAGTTTTTATTTTGGAGGAATTAGAAAATATGATAAAAATAATAGTTTTGAAAAGAAATCTCCATTTAAAAACGAAATGAATATGTATCTTAATGTTTTGAAGAGGTTCTTCCGTATTCACTAACAAGAGTTAGAATAATTTTCCCTGTTTTTACTCACCATCCAAATGAATCTCCAGTTTGCCGGGAACATTGTGGTTCTTGCAACGAGTGCGTGACACGAGCTCGCTCGAAATGGTCGAGATTTGATTGTTCGTTAGGTTAACCTGGCAAAGCACGGGCAATCCATAGAAGTCCCTATCTAGCTTCGTGATGTTGTTGTAGGCCACCTTAAGGATCTTCAGACTTGGCAGGTTGCTCTGAATTCAGAAGAAGTATAGGGTTAAGGGCGACCTCAGATAAATTACTATTTAACCGGGAACTTACTGTCTCCAATTCCTTCAGCTCAACCAGTTCATTGCCAGTCATGTCTAAAATCTCCAAACGGTCCATGCCATCAAAATCGCCCGGCAAGATGAACTCCATTCTATTGTACGACAAGCCGAGTATGCGGAGATGGCTTAGACCAGCCAGAGCAGCATCCAGGGTGATAATCCTGTTGTGATCCAAACGTAGATCCACCAACGGCAGATCGTGCATGTGCTCGAGGCTGGGGCGAAGGCGTTTGATTCTATTGTTGGACAAATCAAGTATCTTTAGCGATCGCAGGCCACGAAGCTCCTCCATTGAGAACTCCTCGATTTCGTTGAACGAAAAGTTCGCGATAGCCAACTTGGCCATGGGAAGAAGCGAGCCGTTCGTCGAGCGGATGTGGTTGACAGCCAGATTAAGATGTTCCAGACGCCGACACGCCTGGAATTCGTCATGGGCCAGATACTCCAGCTCATTGTTATGCGCCATCAGTTCGTTGAGGAACTCGGCGCCTTTCAGCACGCCATCAAAAGATCGCAGCCGATTGAAGTGCAAGTGCATGATCTCCAGCTGATCCATGCCACGCATATTGGAAGGCAAACGCTCCAGGCGATTGTTGTGGGCCATGAGAAGCTTCAGTGTATTCGTATCGGGAAACTCTCCCTCCAGGTCGCTGATGCTATTCGCATTAATGAACAGCGACTCGAGCTTGACAAGATCGTGGAGCGATCCGTTCAGTGCCTCAATTTGATTTCGACCCAAATGCAGGGTTTTGAGGCTGGGCGGAAAGGCCCCTCGGTCCAGACGTGTTATATTATTGCTGGGCAATATGAGATTTGTCACCATTTGTATGCCCTTAAGGTCGTCCTGCTGCACGGATCGTATGTGACATCGAGCTATGTCCACCGTCTGCAAGATCGGCATGTGGTTCAAGACGTGCTTCGGAATCTCTTCCAGTTCGTTGTCGCCGACGCTTAGGTATTTGACATTCGATAACCCACGAAATGGAAGTTCAGGCAGCGATCTATAAATAGAAAACAGCGAATTGTCTTAAAATGAGCAAAGACCGTTTCTTCGACGGGCTAATCTGAAAGTGGCATAAACAATCGAGCAGAAGTGACGCAGCTTATCAAGCAGGCTAGAACCCAATTCAATGCCAACTCACGAGATCTGTATCTGCCTCTTTATCTACAAGTAGAGTCTAACAGCGATGGTTGCAGCTGCGTTATTAAGTCGTTGTCGCCGCCTCAGTCGCCGCTTGGCATTCCAATGGGCCAAGCGGCGACTGCAGGCTCGCGCATTATTCATTATGGGAACTGGGCTGCTTGTCAACGCGTCGCCGTCAACAAATTGCCAGCCTTGGCATCCTTGGCGCCGTTATAGGCAGACGCAGGCGCAACCACTGATTGACAGGTGCTATTTTTAGCCGAAGTCATCGCCTTCGTCGCCTTCGTCGCCTCGTCTAACCACTGATTGATTGCCAGCGCCACCGGCAATTGGCTGCCGGGCTTCTGAAACATTGATTATGTAATGAAAAAAGTGATGCCTGGCCGGCCACAAGGATGAGTGACTACATATTGTATTTATAATGAGCAATCGCGCGTTGAACTTGGGCACATGCCTCTGCTACAGGACAGTGGTAATACAATTCGAGAAAAGTGCGACTAAATGTTCTGAATATATGTTCTCCATTCTTGAGACATTACTGCCGATTCGAAACTTTATGCTCGCTTGAGTTACTGGGCGCCGAAGGACGACGGTATAGATCTATTTATCTCGTCCACTATATCAAGTTTACACTTTCAGAAATACTTAATAAACCATTTGTTTAAAGGCTAAAAGGATAGATAGGCAGAGCTGTTGCTGCTCTCCATAAAATCAAGCAATTTAATTTATAAATGCTTACAGTTTTTTCTTGATATGGCCCTATACTCATCTTTTGGGAATTGTACGCAAACCCATTAAGCTTGTTTTCATTTCCCTTTCTTAAAGTTTACACAACATATAAGCCAATTCAGACATCGTTGCGTTCAAACAGACAGACGGACGGACAGACGGATGTGCAAAGCGATTTATCGACAACGACTTATCCTGTCCTTCTGTGGGATTTGCTTTATATGAATTATTTGCCAATTTGGATAAATTTTTAAGCTTATTATTTGCCTGCCTGGCAAAAGATCCAAAGTATTGCGAGATATGGCTGCGATTTGGATGTTTAAGAAAACAAGAGATAAAGATTTATTTATAGTGGATTGAGGCTCGAAATGTTTGAGAGGAACCGTTAAAGAAAGCTCCATTTAATACGAAGAGACTTACGGTTGGCCCCACTGTGCGTTGGTATTTTATCAACTCTTTGCCCGACTATGTATATACACTTAAGTATGTGTGTATGTTCATATGGATGTGTGTTGTGCGTGTGTGTGTGCGCGCGCGCATCATTTATCTTTAACGTCAGCCATATAATTGTCACACGACCTAAGCTGGCCTCTTGATCATTGATTGAACGTAATAATAAAATTCAATTGTACATTGAGCAGTCTCTCTCTCTCTCTCTCTCTTTCTTTCTCTCTATCTCTCTCTATCTCTTTCTTTCCATCTCCATCTCTTTGCCGCTTACTCATTTGCTCTTGGAAGAAGTGACCCGAACCGGAGCATAGGAATAACAACATCGGAACATTCCACATTTGAGCAATCACTCGGAGGTTCGTAGTCCCAGGTCTCTGCAGCCTACGCCGAAAAAACACACAACACTTTTTTTTACCGAAAAAAATGAAATATACAAAATTTGTTGTGGTTTGTTTATTGTTTACTTTCCTTAAGATTTATGTACGAAAACGAAAACATTCTAGCCAGGGGCGACTTTGACTTTGGACGTTATCAAGCAGCGACTGCACGTCTGGTAATATTCCATAGCATATATAAATCATCAATAAATTATGTAGTTATCATAATTGATTGACAAGAGTTGACAAGACAGACCCGTCCACCAGCCAGCGGCCAACTCTTTTTTACACTTCCTCAGGGCTGTGTGCGCCTGCTGGTTGCCTTTGATAATGTTCTGGCAATAATAGCCGCAAACAAATCGATGTCGTGTGATTGAACATATAACATTGCGTACAGAGTTTATAAGTATTTTATGTACAGATCGGGTGTACATACTAGTATGTGAATGTGTGATGTTTTGTTTTATTATTGCGTACATTCATATACTCGTATAGTGGGTACTACGGCGCTTATCAGCCTGAGAAAAAACAAAAGTGAATGCATCAAAGCGCCACTCAGCACATACTCGTACATAAATAAGTAATAACTCATCCAAGTCCCCCCGGCTCAGATCCCCATGCTGTCCCCCGCATTCAGAGAGCAGCAGAGCGGGAGCAACACACGTTCGTCACGTGGCGCAGCAGTGTTTTCAATGTCCTGCTGCAAGAGTTCATTGCAACTCTTCAGATTCAAAGGATCTACAGATACGACCACTACTTACTATATGTATGTATGCATGTATGTATGTACAAGTATGTATGTCCCACCATTCACATCATCACGTCATCACATTATCACACTCGCAGCATTCCTGCGAAACAATAATTTCGTATGGAAAACAAGAAAACACTACTTACTACAAGTAGACAGCGAAAAACATCAATTATTAAAATCTGACTACATATTAGGCGATCATAAAAATGATCATAAAATTCACATCACTTCTGACTTTGGCGCCAGTCATAAACGAGACGACAAGCGAATCGTAATGCTGGCCTCTGTTATCAGGCGGTACGGGTACGTCCTCAAGCGGCTAACGACTGCTGTGTGCGTTATATACATACATACATACATATGTACATATACATACATATATGTATGTACATGTATATATAAGGGGACATAGAAATGAATGTAAACTAAACTCGAAATAAATCGAGTGTCCACAAACAATTTTTAAATACCAATCGGTGCGGTTGGGTTCGTTTCGGTTCGGTTCAGTACAGTATGGGGCCAGAATCTCGGGCATTTGAAAACTTATCATACCACACACTCACTCTTGTGCTGCAATAGCGGTCTTTTCTCCGACTTATTTGCTGGCTGACTGTCATGATTTGGTCAGTGCACGATATTAAGGCAATAGGTCAATTATTATAAATTGACATCAATGTAAAGAAAAGCAGAGGAAAAATTGGCTGGCTGGCTGGCTGGCTGGTCGTATTGCAGCGTGTGATTTGATTATATCTAGTAATTAAATATAGTCTTACATATAACTAATAAATGGAAATATTGCAGCAGAGTGGAGCAGACAAATTAAAACTGACAGCTGATTTCAATTGCAAGCCTTGGCTGAAATTTGTTTACGCTGTTGACCAAGTCCGTTTTATACTACTTGTATAATGGCGTTAGTACATAGTTGAGCTAACAGGAATCCCCGAATGTGAGTTGGTTCTTGGGTATATGACTCGGTTCTAATCTCGGCTCCACCATCATCGCATATAATATGATTTGAAAATTACTTGTGTCATCTCATATGAAAAAATGTCAAACTGCCGTGTTATAGCCAAATCTGCAGGCCAATTCCGCAGCATAATAATAATAAAACAAGACTACATAGTTGGTTTATAATAAAAAAAAAAAGTACATTTGAAATATCAGCAACGATTTAGAGTGCAAAAGCGGCATAAAATACAGCAAAAAAACCCCGGTAACATACATACACTTGATTTGAGTTTTTTATATCTCTTATCAAATTTGTTTAAAACAAATGAAAATAAACTTTTTTACACGGTTTTATAAATTATAACCAAATTTCGATTAAGCCAAATCTTAGTTTAATCTAATTCAAATTCCACTATTAAATTAATTTTTTAAACATTTGTAGGTAAAATCAGCTTTTGTTATTGAGCTAATTATTAATTTTATTTTATTCGGTATGAGTTTTAGATGAAAATCTATAGCTTTACGCTTTGAAGCATGTTAGATTATAAAGTATTGAAATGATTTAGCTTATGTTAAATCTATAATATTTGTATATTTAACGTTTTTTAGTAGCTGTGTTGTAAAGTTGTAAAACTAGTTGATATTTTTTAATGGACATAGCGCGTTCAATTACTGATAAGTGGTACTGATGCCTAGGATATAGGTACGTTTTTCCTATTATTTTCTGCAGTATTCTTTTGTTGTTGAGAAGGTAACCTACTAAAAAAAGCACATTATAGCTTTAAACTTAGAATGTAAAAGAACCAAATAAGACTTGACTTCTTCAATGTACAATTTGGCTCTAATTTTTATTACAAACGATAATCTTTTTATCTTATGTAAATCATGTCGTTGGTCTGTTTCAACCTGATAACTTTTAAACGGTGGGAAAAGTAGTTAGTGAAAGGAAAAGAATTTAAAAATATACAAGGCCTAATGCAAATAATTTTTATAAATGTCAAACATAGAAATAAGTTCGAACCTAAAACATAGCAATTGAAAAAGTTCGTACAGTAAATATAAATAAGATAATCTTCATATTTTTGACGGAAGAATTGGAATTTGCCATCATTCGATATCCATATAAACAGTCTCTTAGAAATATTGCCAGTACATTTAGTTAGTGCGAGACATATCAATGAATAGTTTGCAGGCGCTTATGAAATAAGCCTGAATGTTGTTTTCATATTGTGGAACAATATATATAAATACTTTAATTTAAATTCTCCTGATGTGATTATAAATAAAAGTAATGGCACTCATTCAATTGAAAATTCATTCAGAGAGTGAGAGATAGAGAGGGAAGAAGATAAGTCAGAAAAACGTGCTATTTACATTCAATCGGATCGGTCGAAACAAAATCCAATAACTTGCAACTTGTCGATTGCCTTTTTTTACAAATATCATCTTCATCTGTTTTAAAAGTAAGAGAGCATTTTGAATCAAGTACGAGTACGTGTCGCATATTATCAAGTCGATGCAGAGAATCACACACACACACACACAGACATACAAGAACAGCACTCGTATATTTATATGTATGTGCTATAGAAATTGATAAGCTCACACGGTATATTCAATTATCAATATACATACATAAAACACAAAATCGACTAAAGTCGCTGACAGCGAACCGCAGGCGACGACAAATCGTGGCGAATGAACAACCCAAGCTTAGTTGATATTACGAGTACTATGGTAGCCCCCTAATCTTGGAGAGCGAGTGCAGCCAACTGGCCGATCAAGTCAACACGTAACTTAGCAAAGAAAGACACGGCCTCCTAATGTTGCGATAACTCGAACTAATTTGAATCAATTGAATGGCACTCAGACAGTGGCAGGATGCTGACTAAAAACAATAGCAGCAACAACAACAACAAGCTAGGTATTTCACTAATTAAAAAATTAAATCATCATTTATGTACGAGTATTTGCTATGCTACATCAGTTTCTTGGGCCCGCTTTAAATTTGCTCAATTGAGTTGCCAAAGATAATGAGCTATTGGATCGGATGCCATCCGAGTGCCTGACTTTGACGCAAACAGAGAATGCTTATTGTTGTTGTTGTTGTTGTTGCTGTTTGTGTTTTTGTTTTTGTTTTAGTATCTACTTGGTTGTAAACAAGTTGCACATTTTTGTGCATTTACATGAAAGCGTATTTTGCATATTTTTTGTCTTTTATTTTGATTGAGTTTAAGGAACCTAAATTGATAGCCAACGAGCGGAAAATTCTGTTGTTGACAGCACGCTGAGGGGGGAAGCGAGGGGGAAGGTGAGAGGGGAAAAGGCAGGCTACACCCACCCACACCTACCTACCTACCTACATATGTACATACATACATACATAGTTATAGTATGGTGACTCACCTCAGGCCGTTCCATTGCATGCGCAGCTTGACAACATTCAGATTCATATCCGTAAACGATCTCATCTCCAAATCCTCCAATTGCGAGTGCGTGATCTTTAAATCGATTTCGACATGGGGCTGAAATTTATTGGCCAGCACATCGACAATGGTGTGAAACGACTCGAGTTTCTCGCACTCGAGATTTACGTAGTTCGGCGAATCCACCGACTGGCATGTGCACGGCGATATCTCCGGACGTACGCTGCATTGCAGCGACGCAATGCTGAATACGGCGTACACGAACGAAGTCATTTTTGCCTTTTCGTTTCTTCACTGACACTTGCACAATGCTTTTTTATTGATTATTGAACACTGAACACTTTTCAGTTGCAACAGCGGAACACACATTAATGTTGCACATGCGCACAGTTGCAAGTCTGTGGGCCAACTGCTGGCAATTTCCCCGACGGCTGCCTTCTTTTTTGGTTTTGGTTTGAATTTTTCTTTTTTTTTTTTGGTTTTGGGAAAAACACTTGAACGGTTCTTCGCTACTCGAACATATGTGCGGGAGTTTCCCTGCCCATGCTCACGATGTTGTTGTTGTTGTTGTTGTTGTGTTTGTTTTTGTTGTTGCTGTGGTTGTTGTCGTTGTCGATTCTATGAAAACGCTCACTCTTTTTCCTGGCTTGCTGCAGTGATAAAGCGCACTCGAATTTCAATACTTTTACAAACTGTTTTTGACAATCGGTTTTTGAGACTTTTACGTCGAGTATCGTATTTGAACTCAAAACTCGCGCGCACTCTCACACTGTATGCGTGAGTGTGTGTGTGTGTGGGGGGGTATGTGTTTGTGTGTGTGCTCCTCGTATTGCATTCAACACTCACTCGCCCATTCGCGCCCAGTTAACCTTTGACACGCGCATATATCACTTGTATTAATCTATTAGAATTTCTTCTAAAAAAAATAATTTTGAATATTTTTTTTCTTTCTTTCATATACTCGTATTTATATGTGTATATTTATGTTGTTGTTTTGTTTTTTAAAACCGCGAGTATTGAGCGTATATATGTATATGTGTTGTGTGTGTTTGTATATATGTATGCGTGTGCGTACTCGATATGATCGATCGATCGGTCGTTCTGGCAATTTCTAGCCGATGTTCACGTCTTTATTCCAACACGGTCCGTTTGCGACTGGGAAGAACGAAAAACGTTCGCTGTCTGAGGAGGATCCGTAACGCTGCGCAGCGACGGCGCCAACTGCTCTTGTAGTTGTTGCTGCTACTGCTGCTGCTGCTGCTGCTGACGTCTCTGTTGACTTTGCTGTTGCTGTCGGTGTCGCAGCTGCCAGCTCTTCGTTGCTGCTTCAGTCGCTGCTGGCTGCGCTGCACGGCTTTGATTTTAAGCGCGTTTTGCGTACGTTTTTTGGTAGCTTAGCACGCGTTTCTTCCACGTTTTTTGCCGCTTCAAATGCTACAATTTTGATCTGTTAGTGTTGTAAGTACGGCGAGGAATGTCGAGCAATTGCTAACAATAATTGGCCAGAAACACTCAATTACATACATGCTTAATGCTAGGCGCCGAGCCCCAATCTGCAGCTGCAACAGCAACAGCAACAGCAACAAGAACAACAACAAAAATCCCGTGCAACGTCTTCATCTGTGCGTGTTGGTTGTGTTGCTGTTGCCTTTGCCGTTGCCGTTGCCCCCTTTGAGCATGTGGCTGCCAGAATACCAGTGACAACAACAACACCAACAACAACAAGAGCAGCACATGTGCATTTATGTAAGTTGAGTTGCTTTCTTAGGAACCTACGGCAGCAGTCCAAGTCCCATCTGTCCCATCTGCTTGTCAGTTCATGTCTCATTGCTTTATCTATGTATGGGGGCATCATTATTATCATCTTATGTATGTATGCCTGTTTAGTCTCAACGCACTCTTGATAAATTGTCCTTTAGGCACACAGATGTACACTCGTGTACACACACACACACACACACACACATACACATATATATGTACATACATGTACTTACATTGTACATACAAACAATGCACACATGCGTTTTTACAAGTACAAGTACAATCAGTTATGCGCACTCGTATCTGTAACTGTGAAACAAAAATGTTTTTAATTATGACGTTCCACTGACAAAATGATCTCGAAATGCATGGAGGCATAAATTGAATGAAGCAGTTTGTTGTATGAATGATTGCTGTTGTTGTTTTTCTTGCTTATCGACGAAAACTTTTGAGCCATTCCACTGACAACATCAAGGGAGATGACGATGTCGGTTGTGTCAGCTATAAAGGCACGCGTTTATTTTACAAAAAATTTTTTTTTTATTTTAAAATGCATAAAAATTATAAAATAATAGGACAATACATAAATGTACGTACCTTATGTACATTTCATTTCCATTTATACATATGTTCATTCAAATCGCGTATGTGTGTGTGAGTATTTGCAGTACGCTTCTGAATCATAACATCAACAACAGCTGCCAAACGACAGAGATTGGACGGAAATTACAGTTGGTTGCATTGCAAACAAAAACACAAACATACTCTACATACCAAGTTGGGGGATTCCAGCTCTTATACTTTCGGAGATCCTGGCGATCATACAGACAGACAAACATTTTTTAAATGACTGGACTTGTCATTCAAATCAAGAGTATATATACTGTGTGAGGTCTACCCAATCTCCTTTAATATGTTACAAAAATTGAATCATTTAAAGTAGCCTATTACTCTTCCAATAAAGGGTATTAAAATAACCACACTTGAATATTACCGATATTAAAACAATTTGAATCGGACTCGTGTCTATCTTAAGTGAAGAGGACGGAGCTCAAGCAGGAACAACTACTGCTGGCATAGTAGCCTTGTAATTGAATCTTGACATGATGATATATATATATACATATATATACATAAGTACTTACAGAATGTAGTTGTAGAGATATGGATAGTCCTTCAAGCAAGATACTCCAAGTGGGTATACATATACAATATGTACATCAAAGTTTTATGATTTTTGCTCACAAATATACTTCCAGTCACATATGTGTCTTCTTTTTGTTATACATTTACAGTATACCCTTTTATCCTTTCGGTATGCTTAGGGCTGGCTATCGTTAAAATACTACGATTCGCACTTTTTTTTGAATTCGTTGATTATTTTGAGATTTTATTATTTTATTTGTAGTACCGTATATTGCTTGATCTACTGCTCTAAGTTGAAAAAAATAGGTTCGCAGATATCAACTAACTGCAATCCAAAGTATAAGAGACACTAAAGAAAACACCAAACTGTTTCTCTGAGGTTCCATCTGGTTCCATCGATTTTTGAGTTCGGATATGTTTTTTAAGTGTCTGCATTACAGAATTGTTAACATTTCCCTCATTTTGCGCGGTTCGCTCGCTACTTACCAAATAAACCTGCATCTTATTTCTGCAAGAAAATAAATCACAGCTCTGCCACTGGAATTGGTGGCGCCTCATTGCAGGCGCCACTCAGCGAGAATCAAGCCAAGCACTGTGCATAAAATTCCGCATTTTTAATTTGTTTTGTAGTTCTGGCCGTTATTGTTGTTGTTCCTGCTGCTGTGCGTAATTAACAAAAGCCCCTTAAATGCTGTCATGCAGTCGTCAAACTGTCCGAGGCTGAGGAGCAGAGCGAATTCCGCGCATACCCATCCAGTTTGACTGCAGCATGCGCGTGCCAGCCTCAATGATGTTGCTGCCAGAGGCGCCACCGCCAACGACAACAGTTGCAGCAACAACTCACTACGGCGGCCGTGCAATTAATCATGGTCGGGCTGCAAGTGGCAATTTTCTTGTAATCAGCTTGGGCGCAGTTGTGGCCCGGTTTGATGTTGTTGTTGTTGCTATTACTGTTGATGACAAACGCCCACATTGCAGGCGCCAGCGGTTCTTTGCCCTAAAATCCAACAGTAATCGGCTATAATAGGCTGTCCCAGACGTACTACAACACGAGGACGATGACGCCTTTTTACCGGTTCGTTCTGAGTGTATGAATCTTGATATTTTTGGCACAGACCTCAATATCGGCATATGGACTATACAAGTTTAACAAAAATCATAAATACACATTTTTTACACGGTTCAAAAATTAAAAATTTTAAATATGGTTACAGGACATTGTCGATCAAATAAATAAGAATTTAAAATAACACATAATCAATGTATTTTTTTACACGCCTTTTTCGGGAACCAATCTACCGTTTAAAAACAGAATTAGTTATATTTATATGCTTTTTTCCCATTGACTACTTGTATTTGCGACGATCTGTAAAAAGCATAATCCTTGAAAGAGCAATTTAAGAGAAATATTAAAGTTTTCAAAATTAATCGATGTCTGTAGATTGTGGAAATTGTTGGAAACGACTATATCTGCGATAGGGCCACATATCGATTATTAAATTGAAAAATAGTCTCACTCGTAAGAACCAAAGTTGCGAATGTTTTGTCTTTGACTTAAAAGAAAACATGTTCACACAATTGAATACGTTTAGAGTATCCCAAAGTCCGACGAACCCATCCTTATTTTCTTTTCACATTTGTATTTGTTTTCGAATGCGGCGCATGCACCAAAAATGGGCAAGTCCCTGCCCCCTTTAAGGGGGTGGTTAGTAAGTTAGTTTTAAGGTAGCTATTTACTAATAAGTATTAAATAGATTTGAAAGTGAAAACTAGTGCACGTAGATGTAAATGTTAATTTATCTTGTGTATAATTATATACACCGATTGCGTAGCAACCTATTTTTAAAATGTCCTATCATCCAATTTATAAATATACCACGCGGCATATTAATAAATTTTCTTTATTAATATTTGTATAGTATACATCTCTTGTTATTTTTTGCACACATCAATATTTTCAACATTTTTTTGTGACATATTTTCTGATTTAATTGCAGCAGCAACAACAAAAACAACAACAACAGTATCACAGTAGCAGAAACATTCGGTCGACTCTGCCTTTGGCTCGGCTGCTTAATCATTTTTTAATGTGCGCCGATTTGACATTGCCCGTGGCCTGATCCAACAACTATAGTACAACTTGTTGACGTGTTTTTCATGTGAATTTCGACGGCCGCTGTTGCCTTTGTTGTTGCTGTAATAATGATTCTGTTTTTGGCCGGCCAGCCGGCCGGCATATGCAAATCTTTCAAATTCCAAGTAGATCGGATCGATCATGTGCCTCAATTATCTCTCCTCATCGATATCTCACGTCAATGGCCAATTACGAGTATGGTAGGCAAATATTTTGCTGGAATTTGCTGTCGTCATTGCAACTGCGTCACGCGCCTTGGGGACGCCAGAATCAAATTTAAAGATTTAAAGTAATTTTCGCCTGGGGGGCATATTTTTCTAATTTAGATTTAGTCTGTGATTATGCATTTTTATTTCGGCTGATTTTTTGTCGCTCTTGTTGTTTTTCATTAATTTTTCAAACGTTCAATTTCGTTTTGTGAGCTATTACTACACGATTTATCAATAAATGTATGTGTATATGTTTTATATACGTATGTGTGTGTGTTTTTTTTTTGTTTTTAGTTTTTTGCTTGCATGTACATTCATATATATTTATAGCATTTAGTGTGTGTAAGAGAGTTATGCTGTTGCAGTTGTTGTAGTATATTGCATGCACCACAAACGCGCCAAGTTTATATAATTTTATCTAGGTGCCGAATTTGCGCTTGATCATCATCATCATCACCGCCGTCATATAATTAGTGTTGTTATCATCAGCATCAATATCAAAGCGCTGGCTCGAAACAAAAACTTAGCCATTAATTAAACTAAATACAATATTGTTTAAACGTAAAATGTACAACAAGCACTAAAAGTTGCAACCAACTTCCAAGCCAATTGTGGGCCTACTTTGGCTCCGTAAACTTGTTGATCTGTGGATATTTGCCGGGCTTGTAGTCAACATCCTTTTTGAGGCGCTCACGCGTATTGCCCCGAACCGCTTCAGTAAACGAGCCCTGAACGGTGGCATCGTGTGCAATGGCCGCAATCACAGCATCGGCGGTTAGTGAGCCACTCGAAGCTGTTGGAGCGCCCACACCTGTGCTCTGCATGGCGCGCTGCACTCCACTGGCTATCAGACTCTCCACACTCGAGCCGGGCTTCTCTGATTGAATGATCTTGCGGCGTTTGGCAGACATTCCGGATATGTAGGCATCGGAGTACGGTGGCTGTTGGTGTGGTTGCTGCAAGAAAGCAAGAAGTGAAAGACATTAATTCCATGAATGTTTTGATTGATTAATACGTACTAAACCCTATTACATACATATAGCTCCAATACATCACTTGCATTCAAATATATTGTTAAAAACAGTTTATAGCTATTTGCTAGAAAGAATCATTCTAATTCAAAATTAGGTAGTTAGTTTTAATGAATTATTTTATAATATTAAATAAATTTAATTGATTCCATAACAATTACTCTAATCAACCTAAAAAAAATGCTTGCCAATTCTTAAATATCTATGAGTTCATAGATTGGTTCAATCAGGTCCATTTTTACTTACGATGATTTGAATAAATTATTATTATACAAGAAACTAACATCTGCATAAATTTTCTATTACAAAAGCCATTTCGTACCTAAACTTGTTATTGTAATGACCAGAATTTTAACGCAAATGAAAATTGTCCAATTGATATTATAAAACAAGTTATATTTACTGTTGTGGGTAAATCATTTAGAAAATAATTAGATACGAAGTTGTAATAATCCTGTTGCAAAATGTCGTTTTTTTTTAAACAAGAAACATTTAGTTAATTATACAGATAATGTTTTGGACTACTCTGCAACCATTAGTTTTTCAGTAATACTTAATATTTTAATCTTGATCTCAAACATTGATGAAATGCATTTGTGGAACTCAGTCTAATTATGAATTTGTAGACCCACCTCAGTCTGTGTCTGCAAGTCGCGTGTTATCACAGGCAGCCAGTCATTGGGGAAGTTACTGTGCCAGGGCTCAGAGCCCACGTCCACTTGGGGCAGCAGCTGCTCGGGCTCTGTATTCGGAGCTACTGCAATAGCAACTGAGCTGCTAGCTACCTCGGCCATTTCAACATCAACGTCGAAAGACTGCGGCGGTGACGGTTCCTGCTGGGGATTGAATGCAAGCGGTGGAGGCGCAACGAATGGTTGCTATTAGTTGCGCTTTACCTAAGCTCTCCGCTACAGTAAAAATTTCTTTGCAAGCTCTACTCACATCTGCAACTGAGGCCGCGGCTGATGCGTTTGTGCTGCGCAGCACCAGGAACTGTTGAGCATCAGCGGTGTCCGTGTTGGCTGGAATTGTCGGATCAATATAGATGCAGAGAAACTGCAGCGCTTCATTGCGGAAATCTATAAAATAAAGGGATAAAGGGTAGATGGAAAACAATTAGTTTCGCTTGCTCATCATCGTCTGTTGTTTTAATTAACTTAGAGTATTTATCTAGAATTGGCAATTCGAATCTTAAAGACGTCATGTTGGCTTCAATTGCACAAACATCATATCATTATTGGGGGCAAGAATTTAAATTCGTCCTCACATAAGTTATAATATCTTTACTATCTTTATTAACCTCGTTGGCTGCAAAGCTACCGTCTGTAAAATACGTTGTAGATGTTAAACTGGTAAACATAAGCATAATCATTAATTTCCTAAATATATGTAGGATGAAGAAAACATCTTAACAGTCGTCCGGGGATTATTAATTGAGATAGATAGCGTGCCGGTTGTACTATAAAATCTTCTAATTTGAAGCTTGTTCATGCATACTTTTGTGTATTGAAAACTTTTGCCACTTGGCGTCTTATGTCCATTCTTAAATATGACATTTTCCGATAGTTCTATTGAAAGTAACAAACCTGTCAGAAATTACTTACTTGACCGTAGTGGCACGCATAGCAACCGCATCAGTTGCCGCCAGTAGAGCTCAGCATTGGATTTTCCCACGCAGACAAAGAGAACACTGTAGAGACGGGTACGGAACTGCTCACAGATCTGTTTGAGGCGTTGCTCGAACTGGACGCCGCTCTCTGAATTGGAGGAAAGATCTCCGCTGCACAGTTCAATGATTAGGCGCAGAGTCAATCGCAAGATATTGCACACAGAGTCGTGAGAGTTGTACTCCGGTCTTTCGTACTGCGGCAGGTAGAGCAGACTCTCGCCGAACCAAGCGAGTGCGCGACTGATGGCGGGCGGTATGGTCTCGTCATTGATGGGTGCCCCTTCGAAGACGGTCTGGTGCAGGAAGGTGCGCAATTGGGCGCGTAAATTGTCTGCCTCGCTGGCCGGCGTTAGATGTGAGCCGCTGGTGCCTGCCAATGTGGGTATCGCTGTGGTTGAGGTCATGCTGCTGCTGCTGCTGTTATTGCCACTGGATGCGAGTCTAGTCACGGGAGTTTGCGTTCGGGCGGCGCCGGTTGTGCGTCTTCCCTCTGCGGCGCTGCCTGCCGAAGCTGTTTGCGCATTATTTCTCAGATTACTAACCAAAAAATTAGCTAACAAAGTGGGTATTGGTCTGGGTCTAACGGCCGAGCGGCCAACGCTCCGGTTCGAAGCGAATTGACGGTACGAATACGTTGATTCCGGGCCTCCGCCGCCTGCCGAAGCTGTTTGCGCATTATTTCTCAGATTAGTTACCAAAAAATTAGCTAACAAAGTGGGTATTGGTCTGGGTCTAGCGGCCAAGCGGCCAACGCTCCGGTTCGTAGCGAATTGACGGTACGAATACGTTGTTTCCGGGCCTCCGCCGGCGCCAGCACCCGCGTTGGTGCTGCCGCCGCCAATGAAGGCCGTTCGAGCCGCCTGTGCCGCCAATGTGGTGTTCGCATCACGGTTGGCGGCGACTGCCGGACGTCGACGCGGACGGCTCGTCCACAACCTCGCGCCGCTCTGGCCGCGTGGTAAGCGATGGTCAGTGATGACTATGGTGACACGGATAGAATGCATATTAAATGTGTTAGGATGGAAAAGCGTGTGTGCGCTCTCAATTAGCTGCGGGCGCCATGCGATACGTTAGCATTGATGAAACGGGTGTGGGGCGGTTCAGGGCGCTTCGAGGGTGAGCAAATGTTGCAATGTTGGTCAAACTAGCGTTGTTGGTGTCGAATCGGTACACCGTCATATTTTAATTTACATATTTTCTTAACCATAATTTGAACGATCATGGCGGTAAATTTCATCATTCATAATTCGCGAGAGTATTTGTTACACAAATTTATACTTGTTATTTTTTAAATCTTAAAATGCTAGGACCACTTTAAATTATAAAGCCTGCACCGATTACCCATTAATTTATCAAAATAGTTTTTTAGATTGTGCGCAAGAAAAGGGGAAAAGGGTTTCCGAACATCGGAAGAGGCTTGTATATTTAAGTCTGGCTATTGATAACGATTAGTCGACATACACCATAACCAATAGATCGATACAAAAAATCAATAACGATTAATCAAAACATAAAAATCTTTTTGATTAATCGGTTAGCACCATATTGAATATTCAATATTCAGCCCAATTTCAACATATGTACCAGTGTATATATGACCCTAAAATCGAGTGGGTGTTTCGATGGGGACAAATCTTATTTTTAAATTGGCCGCGCTATAACTGTTAGTTTGTCAAATTCAGCACCATTTTTGTCGTGGCTTACATACTTATGCGTTTTTCGAGATCGACAATGCTCGAAATGATTCAGTTCGAAAGTTCGGTAATATTTTTTCTTTTCATTTTCTAAAATTGACTTTTATGAGAAACTAAAGTTCTCTTAAAACTGATCTATTAGAAATGCTCACAGCAATATCTATTTGTCAAACGACGATTTGTACCAATCCTCTGATTTGTTAAACATGTTTTTTATTAGTTGATGTTCATCGTCTCGGATGTGGTTCTGGATGTGAGGGAAATGTTTCGAAATTTGGCACAGGTAACAGTAACAGTGCTGCCAACTTAAAAATATATAGGTTTGTCCCTAGCAAGACCCCCGTTCGATTTTAGGGTCATATTTGTACACAGTATTATATATTAACATCACATTACACTCACCATAAGCATTAGCCGATGTGGGCGTAGCCGTTGTTGTTGCTGTTCCAGTGTTAGGCACTGCATTCCTAATGTTATTATTGTTAGGGCCCACTGGCTCTGGCTCGCGTATATGATGACTATTGCAGGGCAGGAAGCGATCAAAGGCGGTATGTGTGGGTGCAATTCGGCCGGGCCAGTTATTATTTCCTCCAATTTGAATCTGGGGCCGTGCGGTGGAGCGTGTTTGTGTGGCTGTGGTGGGTAATGTGTTGGCGCGTTGCTCGCCACTCCGTGTGCCGCTGCTGGTTGATGCAGCTGAACCGGATTCGTTGGCGTTGTTGGTATTCGTATTGTTGGAGGTAACGGCAGCGGCCGCGGCACCATCTGTCCCTGTGGTACTTGCAGTGGTGGAAGATGTTCCTATAGTGCCAACAGCGGCGGTACTGGTTCCTGTGTTGCTAGCAGCGTCGGCCGTTTCTGTTCCTGCAGTGCCAACTGGTGTTGCACCAGCAGTCGATGCTCGCCCCTGCGGATGCACGGCTGCTGTCATGACATGCACGGGCAAGTTAATAGACATGATGTTCGGCGCATGGAACTCTACGTGCACATCTGCCTCGTTGGCGGCCGAATTGACCACCGATTGAATGAGACGCGCCATTTGGGCCTGGGGATCTGTGGAGGTAGAAATAGCTTAAGCAAGAACACAGGCAATAAAAGGGAGCACTAACTAAAAGTTATTGGGAGTTGTAGTAATGTTAAATGACCGTAAGAAACAAGGCTGTTTAGCGTGCAAAAGGCCACGAAATGCAAAAGGTTTCTAAATTGTGAGAGCGGGCGAGCAGTTAGGCACGGCAAAAAAGAAACCTACTGGGTGGTGGTATGGCCACGGGCATATAAAGACGCAGCCTCGGTGGAGTCAATACACGACGCTCTTGCTCATCTAGAAAATTAATATTTAAACGCAAACAAAATTACAAAGAACAATAGCATAAAAGTGGACCTAATTTTGAGTCTACAAGTGGAATATTTATATAAAACTTTCACGCTTTACTTACCCATATCGGGTCGCTGTTGCGATTGAGCGCCGGCCGCTGGTATTGGATTGGGTCCTACCATCGGCTCGTCAACTGGATCTTCCACATTATCAGTTGTATTGTTGGTATTGTTGACTGTGGTGGCCGTACCAGTTTCCGTTTCTGGCCTAGCAGCACTATGTCTTTCTATAATTTGGGCCACACGTGCCGCCACGTTCGGATTTACAGGTCTACTGCGTGTTGCAAAGTCCAGATCATCGATCAAATGGGGACGAATATGAGGAATATTCGTATCAGCAGCTGCCGATGATGGTTGCATCGGCGCAGTGCGCCCCTGCTGATTAGCCCCTCCCTGTCCTATGATGTCTGATAGCGGCGATGTGATAATATTGGGTGTGAAGATATTGTTCGAACGTATGTATCCGCTTTGCTCTACAAGTATGGGGCGGCAGGTGAGAACACGCGGTCCAGGCTGCGAAAGATCCAACATCAAATCCGAAATAGCATGCTGAGCATGTGATAAGTAGTGGAAAGCCTCAGAGACGCGATCAAAAATGCGCTGCGCATCCTCGCGACCCGTGGTATCCTTGAAATGAAAAAAAAAGAATACAATAAGAAAATGATTTCAATTGAAATATTCAAACTTACGTTCTCCTCGAAAACTGGATCGTCAAGTAGAATTCTATAATAGCGTTCGACAAAAGGGGCCAAACGCGCCTGGACCCTGCGGCATCTATCAATAACATTGGCCAGCACTTGTGGACGTGTGCGGCGGCGCGGCCCAATGCCAGTCACTGCCACATTGCTGCCATTGCCCTCGGGTGTCTCACCATCTGTGGCATTCTCATTGGCAGTCTCGCCACTTGTTGATGGGGCAGCTGCTGCATCAGTTCCACCAACAGCACCTTCCTCACGATTGGGATACGGTGGAGTGGAGCGATCAGACTCAACATCACCAGCATCATCATCAGTATCGATAACATCTTCAATTATTACAGCGGCAGCTGTGGTCTCTTCACTACTGTCGCTAGCACCACCAACCGCAGCGACATCGTTGCTGCCACCAGCATTAGCAGCACCAGCTTCGCTTCCAGTGCGCGCGGCTTCAGTGCCATCGTTAGCGTAAACAGTGGGCAACTGAACGACGGTGTAGTTTCTACCAGCGGTGTTGCGTGATAGAGCCGCAGTTACTGCATCCTGGACCATATCTATAATATTGTTGTTGCGTGGTATATCTGTGGCAGAAACTCCAACCTCTACGACAGTTGATTCCATAGTCCAGCGACCTCTTTGCAAAATATCCAAGGACTGATTGTTTAAACCAACCTCAGGGTCCTCCAAATAAGCAGCAATGTTGTTGGCGCAATCAATCATGTGCATGGCCACCGTGATGCGGTTGATGCAAAAGGATGATGAGTTGGGAAACCGATTGGGTGGTGTACGATTCTGCAACAAGCCCCTTAGTTTTGTCTCCTCGACCCGGAATACACCACATCCATACTTACCGCACCCACAGGACCATTGTTGACCGGTATGGCCATGGTGCCCACCAACATGCCATCAAGCGCCCGGAAAAACGGAGAGTTGCGCATATTGGCAGGCGGCGGACGTCCTATGCTACGTATCGGACGTGGCTCATCATTGTTGCGAGAATTAGCACCACGCTGCGAGAATGGTGGACGCTCGGCGACATGTAAAACCTTTCCATCGACATCTGTTTTGGTGGCATAAAATCAATGATTTTTATAAAAGTAATATATATGGTACTGGTTAGTCAATGACTCACCAAATTCCTTGAGTTGTTTCTCATCGGCCAGCACACGCCCCTGGTAAATAATGCGTTGATTTTCTGCTGCAATGTTGGTCTTCTCGGCGATTTGGTCTTTAAGCTGTCGTATGCTTATCTGTAACAAAATTTGCATAAGAAACTTCTGGACTGAAGCAATCCACTGGAGCAAATACGGCGACCCTTGACCATATAATTACCTCGTTGTCGATGCTGAATTCATGTGTGCGAGCATCTAAAGTCTTCACCTTTAGATTTATTAACATTTTCGCAACGTCTGGATGTGGATGTCTCAATTATTTGTCAATAGCGGCGCAAATCAGTGAAATTCTTTCTGCGCGGAGAACCACTAAAACTATACAGCGGAAGCAGCCGAGGGGGGAAAACAGTGCCGTCGTCACAATCACGCACACATGCACATGCACGCACGCTCGCCGTCTCTCTCGGGTTTCACTTTCTCTCCGGCGAACGACTGAACAGTGAAAAGCACCGAAATTCTGGCTAAAATAATAAATATAACAATTTAGAAACAAATTCACAACACAAATAGTTGTTTTTTTATGATATTTCACACACGATTTCACTTTGTCTCCTGCGAATTAAAATGACACTGGACATCCCTAGAAGCCGAATTGGAATGAACACAAGATGATGATTTCTCAAAGGGAAAGGGAGGGTCGGACGTGCAAAAAGCACAGAAAAAATTGACATTAGGCAGACTTTGCTCTTTTCACATACGATTTCGGTTAGGACTTACATTTTTTACTGTGTATCGTGTGTCGTGCAACCACTCGGCGGTGCAGATGTTATTGTTAAAAAATTACACACCAACTATTTATTTTAGCCACGCTGAAAGCGTGAAAAGTTCTCCGTAGGGATGGATTAAAATATTACAAAGTGCCTATCGATAATTTGTAAGCGAAAGGAGCTGCCACATGATGACAGTGCAGTGCTGCCAAACTTCCGATATATAGGCAGCACTTCAGTGCGGCCAATTTGGAAAATCGTATTGCGCAATTTTGAATTTGAAGGGAATCAAAAAAGATCTTAGTACCATCAATAAGATACCTTACTTCACTCATATTTGAAATGGTTGCTTTAAATTAATAAAATGAGGCTTATCCCAGAAGATTTTCAGCACGCATGAGTACGAATAAATTGTGCTTTCATGTAGTAGAGCACAATCAAATAAAATGGCCTGAAATACTGCACAGCCCTTGCCACAAACAGTCGCACAACCACACTCCCACCCCTTTCTTTCTTTCCATGCTACCTAAAACCGACGATGACGGTGGTTTGACTTGCATCCTGTGGGAATTTTGAGGTGCACAAGAAAAAGTGGCGTATGAATAATAAGGAAAACAGGGCGCCTGCCAGACAGACGCAAAGGTGCAGCTTAGCTTTGAATATTTAAGTGGCGTGGAAGTAGAAACCGAATCTTACACAATTTTTCACCCTCTTTCCATACATACACACGAAATGTGCGGAAATTTGATTTAATGTTTGCGATTCTTTGCCTTTCGATGCCGAGGTCAGAGGCCTGGTTAAAAAGGGCTTCCCTAAATCGTTCCTGCAACTCATTCTGATTTCAAGTTTATATACCCGTGTGTATAGTATTGGATTCTGACTCTACTTCCAAGCATAAATAATAATAATTATTTCTTTTCTCGCCTGCCTGCTTCGGCCAAGTGCAAGTTTTACAATTTACAAATTGCTTCTAAATGGGCTGTAAAAAAGTTTTAATGAGTTTTCCACGCACATTCACATACAGTGGTCCTCTAAGCGCCAGTCAGCTTATGCATTTTCATTTTCATTATCATTTTGGCGTCCGTGCTAGCTTTTTTTGTGTTATTATATTTTGTTATTCGTAATTTTCCCAACACCCGCCAGCTTTGTCACGAATGTCTGTACGATTCGGGGCGTGACGCGTTCTCCTAAATTTGCCTTTTCATTGAAAAGGAAAAAAGCAGTTAAGAGCTAAAATGTAACAGAAATACAACAATAATTGTACGACTTTTCTTCTAACCGAGGGGTGAGTCTCAGGCAACAGCGCTTAATGAAATTATATCAATAGGTGGGTGTAAGCCACCCCTCTTTTCAGGCATTGCTGTTGTTGGCGTTGCTATTGCCGCGCAATGCTCTTGACAGTTGGAAAATGACTTTTACTTTTGACTGTTAATATTTTCATTAACTATGTAGCATTGAGGTATTAAATTAATTTTGTTCAACTAGCATTTCCTTTTAGTCATTTTAATCGTACTGCAGAATTACCAAAGTTGGGGATGCCATTAAAGCAGCCTTCAAAGGAAGGGATACCAGACGATTCATTTCAAGTATACTATTTGAATATGATAACGTTCATATATTTCAAGACCTCAAATTGACAGGAAGAACACAATTAATGCCACGAAGAAACACATTAATTCACATTGATGCTAAGCTACATATTATTTAACAAGTCGAAAAAAGAACAAGTGGAGAAGCTAAAGTCGAATAATTATATAAATTTTAAAACAATTTTAATATTACAACACTTTTTTGATCGATTATACCACCTTGGGTATTTGAATATAGGAATTGGCTATAACTTCCTTTTAAATTGACCAAACTTGTACATTTCATGTGCAGAGTATAAACACACAATTATTTACAATTCTTCAACGGCCCATAACTACTGAGCTGACAAAAGAGTTATCAAGTATTTGCTGACTATGAGTAAACCAAATTGTATAAAATTTCATTTATTAGTCCGAACACAAATTTATCCCATGCTGGCTTTCCATATTTTTCTCTTTATCAACGTATTTGAATTTTTGCAGGGACTCTTTTGTACTTACTTGCAAATTCAACATCCTAAGCTACATTGCAATCGGAATATGTTTTCCTTTCTAATTTCGTTGGCCAAAGTCTCACGTCAAATTAAATCAAGTTGTAATATAAAGAAAATTGAAGCCAAGTCCCTTTTGTGCCATAAAACAAGCAGGCAAGGAGGCCACAGATGATTGGCAATATAACGCCACGGCTGCAAGGTCCTGTCCAGTGCCCGTTGCTGTAGAAAGGGCGTGGGTTTATACCCGATTTCGAGTGGGTGTGTATGGCTGTATGTGGGTTTATTGAGTGAGGGTGGGAGTGGGAGAGTGAGAGAAGAGCTATGCGGCCACTTGTAATTGCTAGTAAATAATTTCCACTTGGCAATTGCATGACTCTGGCCTCATAAATAGCGCGGCTCGCCTTGAAGTATGTGAAATAAAACTAAGCAAGGAATTTATAGTCAGCACTTAATCTGAGCTGTCAATGCGGCAATAGTTAAAACAACAACAACAACAGCAACAAAAAACAACACAAACCACATCAACAGCAACAGTAAGGCTACAACTAATTGCTGCACATTACGACAAAACGTAAAAATACAAAACGTTACGTAAATGTGGCGTTACGTTACGAATTGACCTGCTCAGCACATACCCATAAAAATCGTAAAGCACATACATATGTACATACATATATAGTATATGTACTGACATACATATTTACGTGTGTTTTAGACAGACGTTCGACTTTTAATTTATGTTTCAATTCCAATTAGCAGCCGAGGCATTTTTATGCGACTGCAGAGTGCAACATGAAATTGACTTTCGTCATTTGTAATTGTATACAACAACAACATCAACACCACCAAGTGTAAACTAAAGGGTAAGGTTAGGGTGACCATTGCCTTATGCACAAAAAATGGTGCATTCTCGTAAGTAAATATTTTTCTTCAATTCAATCGAAGCATATCTGTTCGTATGTACATTTGTACGTCTGTCTGGGCTCCGTAGTAGACTTTGTTTACAGACCCGTGTAATGTATCGTTTTATTTAGGATCGTTCACAAAATTAAAAAAGATTTTTTTGTCTATTACGATATTACTCGTGATATAAAGTTTACTTTCGTTAAGATACTGTTGGAGAGCGGATATGTACAGAGTCTACAAGAGACGGACATGTCTAGATCGATTTCTCTCGTCATGCTGATATATAAACCAGGGACTGTAATCATTATAAGTGTTATTAAAAAAAATACAAAATAATGATTATTTTTTAATTTTATTAATTCGCTCACAGTTTAATGATTAATTTTGAGTTTTACTCATTATTATTGATGAGCAAAAAAATAAAACTTATAAAATAATGATTATTCTTTGAGTTTTATTTTTTTGATCAAAAAAAAAAAAAATATAAAATAGAATAATAATATAAATGCTTTCGGGATTCTGCCACGCCCCCTTCTATATGTTACATACATTCGCACAAAACTATTATACCCTTTTACATTTTTAATAAGGCCATTATTAATATTATAATGAAACTACAAGCATTTTTTCTAAAGCTTGCAACATATAGGAAGTTAAGGTTTCTGTCCTTGTTCAAGTGCTGCATTAAAAATTATAGTATTATCGTCAATTCTGTAATTTTAATTAAATCCCGCTTGTAATTATTTTTTGTCTGATAAAAGAAAATCGGTTTCAGTATCCTAATAATTAATGAAGCTGGTCACTCTTGGGTAAGGCACTTTCTTGCCATGCAACTAATTGAAGTTCAAATTGCTGGCGTTAAGTAAGACGCTTAGCGCCAGCAAGGAAACCGTTCAAATGTCCCCACATATGAGCATGTGCATGTGTGTGTATGTGTATGATGTGTGTGTGTAGGGGGAGCGTCTGAGACCTGGCCAGTTCAATAAACGTTAAAGTGCTACCAAATAAAAGCCAATAAAACTCAACAACAGCAACAACAACAACAATTACAGCAGCAAAGAACAAAAGCTGCCTTTGCGACTTAAAAACGGAGACGGTAAATTCACTTAGGCAACGTAAAAGCACAGAAAGCCAATTTAACTGTCAATACGGGCTAACGACACACACACACACACACACATTTTGACACACACTGAGAGACACACAATCATACGAAAATTGTATGCTTCAACGCATTGGCAAACGGAAATAAAATCAAGCATAAATGCAATAATACAATTTATGTGCCAAATTTCATAAAAACTATAATGGACACACACAACACTCGAGCGCGCATATCAATATACATGTATACATACATACACACATTTGTATGTATGTATGTATGTATATACACACACTGCCAGCAAATCAAGAAAATCGTCAACAAACAAAGGTGACTTCAACGTAATCACATTGATGCTATTTATGTGTCATTCTCATTTGGAAAACTTTTCCACAGACATCAGACATCAGAAGGCAACAATGTTGGGCATTGGGGCCAATACGGCGTATGGGCATCGTAACTCTGTCTGTGTTCGCGTCCGAGTCCGGAATTGTGTGCAAGTTAACAACATTTGCTTTACGTTTGTGAATTGCATTATAACTCAATTGTAGCTGAACGATTTCTACGAGTGTACCGACACAGTATGAATGGTCGGTCAGGAAGCACAAGTGCCTTGTGCACAGTGGAGTGAGTCGGCCCGATTATGGATGTGGAATAATTTTGGAAATAAATTACAAAAACCGTTAGCACAAAGATATTTCAGAACAAACTACAAGGTGCTTTCCAAAGTAAACAGGACTTTTCCAATCTAGCGCCCCTGGTGGCGCCATCTATATGTCGACTGGTGCGTTAGAATCTGCTATCTTTATCGATTGTCCAGTGAGAATTTCATGACATTTCATCGATTGGGAGTGAAGTTATTGCGTTTTAAGTGTCAGCTTCGAACAAAGAGCCAACATTAAATTTTGTTTTAAAATTGTTAAAAGTTTTCCCGAAACGTTTCAATTAATGGAACAAGTTTATGGCGATGATGGCGACGAGTGGTTTCAACGTTTTCAAAGTGGTCGTGAGGACATAAATGACGATCAACATGTGGGCCAATCAAAATTCGTGATCACCGATAATTCCATCGAAACTGTGCGTGAATTCATCAAAAGTCAGTCGAAGCCATCATTGAAATTGATGGAAATGGAATTGAACATCTCCAAAACATCGATTTATCGCATTTTGACCGAACATTTGGGCTTACGAAAGGTGTGTGCACGGTTTGTTCCGCACAAATTGACCGATTATTTGACCAAAAATCACATTTTAACCATTAACCACTCACCGTATTCACCTGATATGGCATCGTGCGACTTCTACCTTTTCGGAAAAAATGCATTTGCCCATGAAAGGAAAGCGTTATGCGTTGCACCGGCATACTGGCGGCCATACCGGCCAACGAGCTAAAACACTCGTTCGACATGCTTTTGAATCGTGCAGAAAGCTGTATTGAAGCAGAAGGAGACTATTTTGAATAAAATAAATTGATTTTGCCGAAAAAACCATTTGTTCTTTTTTTTTTTAAGTCCTGTTTACTTTGGAACACACCTTGTACATACATACTATGTAAAAGATTATTTTTTACGATAAGTTTTTTTAAGTTTAAACTACTACCTGCTCTGAGGCGCATAGTTATCAAACCACAATAATGTTAAAGTTGCTTTTCTTTAATAATTTATATTTCTGTTCTTTGGATTAAATACTTTACCTATTTATACTTTGTACATGTGGATTTCATTTTTCAATTAATCCACAATTTATTGCGCTAGCGACCTGACTAACTGATTGAAAGTATAATTTTTTAACCTATACGAAGCACCATTGATCTAAATTATCTGCCGATTTTAAAAAAATAAATACATACACTTTCACTTTATTTACCACAAATACTTACCAGTAATGCCATACATGATTTGGTAAATGACAATTAAATGATTTTACAACTCAAAAATCGATACAATATTTTTTGTTGAATAATAGTCAGACGAGCTGAAGTGAAACTAGATATGTTTCAATCCTTGTGCGACCATTAACGATTTTATTTTAATATCACTTACCGAGAGTCTTTTTTCAAAACTAAAACGAGTTAAAATTTAACAGTGTGTGGACTGAGTTTTTAAAAAAATACGTTTTAACATTGTCAAAGTAAAACGGATGCCTTTTCGACAAAGATACTTAAAATTTAAATTTATTTAAAAGGAAAACATTGAAAAACCAACAAGTTATGCTATATCTAATATAATAATCATAATATATTTTCGCAAATGCCTCTTATCTGAAGATTCATGGCTCATATTATTTACTTCAAGAAAGTAATTAGAACTTATGGTTTTCCATGAAAGTTTTTTATTTCTATGAAAACAAATTAAATAAATTGCCTCGATTCCATAACAGATGTGCTCACACACACATACGTACAAAAGTTGTATTTATACACATAATAATATACATATAATACATATATTATATATAAATATAAATATGTTTATACTCGTAAATAAAATGCAAAAAGTTGTTATTTTTGAATACAATTAAGGACATAGTTTATAACGCCTCATATGTTCATGCCATAAAAAAGCAAGCTATCTGCCTTTTTTTTTTTTTTTTTTTTTGAGAATTTTTACTATCAAAACACAGTATTTATAGTGTTTTTGGAATTTTTTTGAGAATACAAGGCCATAATATTTTACCCCTTCTCCCTTCTTTCGTACGCCCTTGGCGATGATTGTTCAAAAAGGCGGCATCACTTTTTATTGACTGAGGCATCAAGTCAAGGTAGAGCCTCAATTCATACTTTTTTACACGAGTGGGTATTTCAGTGGCCGATTGTTGTCACTGTCGGCGCCAATTTGATGAAGCGCCTTGAGTCTCAGTGTGAGGCACAAAAATGCATTAACAATTTTGAGCATTGTGCGTCCTTAATGCATCTCCGATGAGCCATAAATTGTAGTTGTTGTTGTTATATTTTGAGCATACATTTCATTCACTCGCATTGGCAGACTTGCGCACTTGAGGGCACTTTTGTGGAACACACACATAAATAAGGACCCCTACATACCAGTATATACTATAAACATATATTTGCCAACGTTGCGCAGCCAGTATATTGACCTCAGTCAGCTACACTCAATTGATAAATGCGGTGGAGCTACGGATGTGGAGCAGCGTTATGCAATGAGCCTACTTCAATAATACGAGTAATAAGACACGCCCTCAGATATTGTTAAGCACTTGCTGTCACGTCTAAAGTAAACGTAGAAAAGACAAAGCCAAACTTCACGCACATTTGGGCCAAAGTCGCAATTGATTTGCCGCGATCCAAATCCAAAGATATGCGCTGCGATAGAAATGGATTTCCGAAAGTCACGCAAAGCGGTCTTAATCGAAACGGGCTTGTGGTGCGGGCACAAAACGTCAATTAAACCAATTACACTCACCAACACGGTTTCAGAGACTGCCTCGCCCACAAATTAAATTATTATTATATTGTAAGACACAATTGAGCTCTTAAGTTGTAGCCATAAATATACGAGTAGTTCATAGACTCACTATCCCTTTGCTTAAGGTCCGTATTGCATATACAAGGCCGACACAAGGCAAACCCCAATGAATATATAATTATATATATTATTTATGAACTTAGTAAAGTTCCTAAAAGAATCAAATTTCTACCATTTATTTTAATTTAAAAAAAAAATATATATATATATATTATTATACTATAAATAGGTGCTGCAAATATTGTAATTAGTCTAAGTACTTATACTACAAATATAGCCAAAGGCCGTCAGTAGCCAGGGCTATTTCGTACTAAACTAGGTTGTAAATTTATTTGCTATATTGTTATATAAATAAATAAATATATTATATATATATACGTAGGAGATATCCATAAATAAATTTGTACAAATTATATTATAGTATTCCTTTATTATTGTTTTTTTAATCATTTTATTCTCAAAAGTGGCTATTATAAACTCAATTTTTACTATACTCTATGAGAATTTTAGGTTTCGACCTAGTCCTTAGTAGAACGCATTTGCTGCAAATATTATTTATTTTTACTTCAATGATCGATTCTAAGTAAGTATAGTAAGTATAGTAAGATAGGTCAGTTACAAAAAAGTATTAACTTGCACGCTAGTGGTACCTCTAGAGCATGTGTGGTCAATGAAATATTTATGAGTAATGGCCGGCTCTCCCAGTGCAGTCAGTTAACAGTATAAATGCCGGTACCGTTGCCCCAATCTACAACAGTTGTTCCAGGCATTCACAACGAACAATACACAAGCAAAATGGCCCAGAAATTCATTGCAATTGCTACAGTTTTCGCAGTCGTGGTTGGCTCAACGCAGGCCGGACTTATTGAGTACGCCCAACCCCGTGAACACTACACCCAGGAACACCAGGCCGTTGCGCATACGCAACAGAATGTGCTGCGCAATTTTGATGGCACCGTTTCACACTATTCCAAGTCCTTGGATACCCCCTACTCCAGTGTGCACAAGACGGACACACGCATTAGCAACAATGTCTACACACCGGCTGTGGCCAAGACGCTGACGTATGCCGCTCCTGCTCCATCTCCCACAGTCTATACTCCACATGCGTCTACGCCTGACGCATATGTACACCATCAGCCCGCGGGTGTCACCTACGCTGCTCCATCTGTGACCAAAGTCGGGACTTATGCTTCACCAGCACCCACTGTTGGCTATGTTGCTCCTGCCGTGGCCAAGACCCTCTCCTATGAAGCACCAGCGCCCACTCCAGCCTTCTCCTATGCTTCTCCTGGCGTTACCAAAACAATTTCCTATGAGTCTCCTCTCGCCAACAGCCACTACAATTACGCTCCAACCGCTACAACAACCAATGCACACAATCTACATGGCCTGCCCAGCTACGGCAGCGTACAGACCATTCACTACTCGCCCGCGGAGGCTGTCTCCCACATGAGCTTCGATGGCTTTGGCACACACTGGGGCTTCTAATACCGAATTGGCGCGATATTGAGTTTTTGTTGTTATGATTTCGCTTTTAAGCGGATTTAGGTGTTAGCTAACGAAATTATTACTCTCTAGAAAGTAAGATTCGCTTTAAATAAACATTATCAATTTACTTAGAACATGAAAGCGCATCTAAGAGCTAAGAAGATTTATTTTGTCTCCGTCAAAACTACCAATACCATTATACCCATTAGTTGTGCTAACAAATTTTTTCTACCTATGCATATTTATTTTATTTTTATAAAGCCTACAAATTTGCAATGGTGGAAGGATCGTACTAGAAAGTGAAAGCAAACCCAAAGAAATTAACATATTTTTGAAAAATTCGTAAGTATTCAAAAACAAATGGGAAATAAACAAATCTCGCACCTCTGAAAAAAATTGTTTAATATCATTATAAATTCTGCATTGACTTTAAACAGATTTTTAAGCATGCGAAATCTATTCTCCGAAATAGAAATTGCCTTGGTTATAATGAATGAAGAATTTGTAGTTGTTTTGTACGTATTGAAGTAAACAATAGGGATTACTTAAAGCTGTGTGTAACTATAAAAGGCAAGTTTTTGAAATTTAATTTTTAATATAAAATGATATTCACTAGAACCTGATTTAGAGCACTGTTTTCATTGGCTAAGGAGTTACAAGCGAGTTTTTGTTTCTGCTACTTTTCTGAATTTGTTTTATTTTTGTAAAGCAACTAGGAAGTACTTTATTATAACATATATTATAAGAAATTATGAAATTGTTAATTTTAATTATGTATGTGTATTCTATAATTTATATTATTTACAATGCATCCCATAAATTATATGTGTAGTTTTTATTGAAGTTTAGAAGCGCCGTCCGATTGATATAACCAAAATTCCAACGCATGTATATATTGGTCTTGTTGCAAGTATTGACGACCAACGCTTTGCTCTGTGGCAACATCTCTAGGCAACGGGCGCCATCCTTACGGTACTTCAGAAGCCTGGTCTTAAATTCGTAGTACCAATACTGATTTGAGCCCATCCCGTGACAATGCCACTGCACCACTGGCGCATTACGTTGCGATGTGCGGACCTCCAGACACATTTTTGTTCTAGGCATTCGCAATTCCGATTGGAAGTTGACCGCCCAATGCTGTGGTTTTTGGGGGCGAACCAAATTATCGGCACAAGGATAAACGCCAATAGGCTGCGAAATATTACGTCGAAGAGAGTCCACGCTATTAAAAAACCAAATGTAATCGAGCCTATGATCTGCAAACAAAAGATGACTAAGTCTTACCACATGTGTGGATTTCCCAAATTTTGTATGGCCCCGGAGGCATAATTTGGCATATCGAAAGGGGGGTACATTAACATTATATTAAATGCCACATTTTTCAAGTACCACTGGAAGGATTTGCATTTTAATTTAGATCGCAAGGCTTTTTGTTTAGACAGATCACCAACGTCGAGATTCTCATATAGCTTGTACCAAGAAATATATTTTTTGTAATCATCCATCCACACCTCTGCTACCCGTTTCAAATTCTGTAAGAGCGAAAAAGTATTGTTACTTTATGTTTTCATGCATATATTAAAAAAGGTATAAATAAAATACTATTTACGCTAGAGATGGTTTTTTATTATAATTCAAATTAGGATTTCTGTCGCATTATTGGATGCATTGGAGAGGAAGACGGCACGCATTCCACACTGTGTAATTTCTGGATTGTTTCAAAGACGAGCTCTACCAGAAGATATTGTTATTGTATTCCTGCTTTGGCTCAACTCTCCATTGCACATATACCCACACACAGACACTAATAGAGACAATCCTGATGCAAATGAGCAGTCCTGCGCTCTTTAGGCGCGTTCGAACCCCGGAGAAGCTACATATAAACAATTTTTTTTTGTGATTTGTTGCATTTTTTTGTTGCCAATTTTTTTAAAGCATTTTTTTGTAAATATATGTATTTATAATTCTTCTACACGTACATAGGCACAGGATACAGTCGGGGCACCAGACTTTATTCCACTTCTTTTATTTAATTAAAATAATTTAATTTACAACAAATTTTAATTTTTGGGTGCAGGTTATATGTATGTCCCGATCGACTTTAGTATTCCATTGTTGTTTTATTATTTTTATTAAATGAATTATATTAATTAATTTTTTGTACATATAGTATATTCATTTCATTTATTTTATTTCATCTATTTTGATTATGAGTTTTTTTCAAGAGTTTGTATGAAAGTTGTTACTGCTTCTTATAACAGCTGTACAACCACAACAACAACATTTTATTCGAACTTACCTTGATCATATATTTATTAAAATCTAAAACATTATAGCGACGTATGTCTTGATTTGCAAAGACGTGTGCCACATGTGAACAAGGCACATCATACATCTCTCCTCCACACATCCATATTTTGAAACTTAACTCGAATTGCTCGCCACCATAAATATCCAGACCCTCGTCGTAACCTCCCAACTGCCAAAAGAATTGTGTCGATATGGCGAATAGTCCACCCATCATGATCGGATTTTTAAATGGTTCGCCCGGAAATTTGACGTTATTCTCTCGGTACAATACGATATAGCCGAGATCCCAGTTGAAGGCACTACGATGGCCGATAGGCCACACACCACTCATTTCAAACGTTGTATAATTAATTCTATCAATAACAGGACATACGACCATTCGCTTGTTTAGTGCGATGGGCTCCAACAATGGTGGTAACCAATTGTGATTGGCTTCGATGTGGGAGTCCAGAAAGACCAGAATCTCCGCGGTCGCATTCCGTGCACCTGCAGTTCGGGCGGCCATCAAACCCATGCGTCGAGGTAGTCGAATAATCCGCACATTCGTAAAATGGCCGGCTATATAGTCCTCTAGGGGCTTGTGGAGATGATCATGATCACTGTAGTCGTCCACCAATATAACCTCTTTAATCAACTCTGGCGGTGAGCGATTAATAACACTATGCAAAGATCGCTTCAGCACGCTGAAGTACTCGTTGTAGAAAATTAAAATAATGCTCGCCTTAGGTAGCACACTCAGATACAGCTTCTTTTTGCAGCTATGGGGAAATGAAATTGCATATTGTGTTGTGATTGGTTCTGATAAACTCACTTCGGATGCCGAATATCTGGCAAGGAACGATTAACTGATATAGAGTCGGAGAGCAGCGCATTTAAACCGTATTTCTTATACAGTTTAAGCTGTAAATTGCGAGTCGAATTCTTCAATTTGGCTGCCTTTCCCTGTTCACCAAGGCCCACACGCTTAGCATCGCGTTCCATCGCCAAATAATCGTGCCAATCCCGTTTCTCCTCACTTGGAGGAGGTTGGAAATCTGCTGGCAGTAAATCCTGGGCGCTGCCGTAAGGTTGAAATATTGGATCCATATCAATAGTTTTGTTTGTGAAAGGTGCGTACAAATAAAAAACCGAATAAAGTAAAAACAGCGCAGACCACGAGATAATGAAAACCATTAACATTGCGATAATTTTTAAATCGCGACGCATTGCGTTTGTTTTTTTTATTTTCGTCTTTAACAAGAAGGATTGGTTACACGTTTGTGACAATGTAGTTTTAGTTTCGCCCCGATGCTCGACATTAGACACAACTGAACTGACTGCGGCTACAAATCTAAATTTCATAAAATATAAAATACGATTTTGTACACTTGATTAGACACGTTTTTACTCTTTCTGTAGAAGCCGCAACGACTGAATGTACTTTAAGTTATGTTCCCCAAAAAAGTACGTTCATGTTAAAAAGCTCATTGGTAGTAGAACGTCTCTTTATAATATAATGTTGAACAGAAGAAATGGCAGATCACAGAGATGCTGCAAAGTGGAGTTACTATATTTTTGGATTTGTTTTAAATTTGCAATATCTCCGTATTTTGAAATGCCAGTTTTACCAGAGAAGCTAATGTCGGGTGTCCAGACTTTGAAATACTCTGTACATGTGTGTTGAATATTTATAGAAATTTAAAAAATGTAAAAAAAGTAACAGAGTTGTAATAAATTTAAAAAATTTAAGAATCTTTAAAAAAATTAACAGAGTTGTAATATTACAATCAATTTCTTTGATCGATTATACCTCCTTGGTTATTCGATCTGAAGTAAAGGGTGTATAACTGCACATTTACGAAGGTATGGTGTCTATGTGAATCTGTGCGTGTCGATGCGTGTCTGTGTGTGTCTGTGCAAAGCAGCAACAACAACAGCTGCAGGCAGAGCTTGGGTAGAGACTACATATGTATATGGCTTTTAAATTGACCTATCATGATGAAACTTGGCATACGGACACATAATCACTAACTTTACAAGAAAGCAATTCGTATGCCGCTAATTACCGTTCGTCTTCTAACATGTAACCACATACGGTAAAACTCTGTACACCCGCAACACTGAAGCTCCCAATACTGGAAATAATAGAAGTTTCAACGGTATTGGGAATACTCGTTATCCTATTTCCAGTTGACAGACACGGCGCCAGGCTCGTTTAAGCACATTTTCTATCACTGGCACGCAATAAGCAAGTGATCTCACTGAAAGAAGTGGAGAAGCTAAATTCGGGTGTCCCGACTTTGAAATACTCTGTACTTATGTGTAGAATAAATATATAAAATAAAAAAAATTAAGAAAATTAAAGAAAGGTAAAAAAAATTGTTGATCGATTTTACCTTCCTTGGTATTCGAACTCACGTAAAGGCACACTTACAAAAGAATTGTGTCTATTTATTTATTTATTTAATAAATTAACAGTAGTGCTCTCGATACATTCTATTACAATTATTACAATATAAGTATATTACCATTTTGTATATATTATAATATTAAACAGTAAAATAAAGATATGTTTTATTATAACATTCTAATTTAAACTTAAAAGATAAGAAAGCCTAAGGAAAATCTGTACAATAACTTAGTGCCATGCGTGGGCCCGCGTGTTCTTGTTGCAAATTCCGATTTTGTGAGTGTTCGTGTTGAGCTAAAAACACTCACGAGCACACACGAATATAACACGAAAAAAAATTAACAACTAAAGTATTAAAAAAAAAAACTCAACACGACTTTTCTTAATTTTTGGACACTAATGATGCAAAATTGAAATTGCTAAATATCAAGAATAACAGCTTTTCAAACAAGTGAACGAGTTTTTTCCACTTCTGGACATAATAAGCGACGATCTCGGCTTACCTCAAATATAGATGAGTACATATTATTTAATAAAAATTTGAAGTGCTTAATATGGATAAATTTTTCGTTCATACATTTAATGGTTATAACAGGTCCGTATTGGGTCGTGCTTAGAAATATTGTCGTCGTGTGTGCGCCTACGTGTTTCCGAAAGTTAGTTTCGTGGCCGTGGCGTGTCGGGCCGAAAATAGCCGGCCCATGCCCATCTCTAGTATGCAGTAAAAAGTTGAGCCAAAGCAGGAACAACAACAACAAAAGCGTTGGGCAGAGATTACATTACAATAACCATCTCTAAAATTGATCTTTTATGAGGGGATTAGGGGAATATGAATTACTTTACACCTAATTCTGTTTTTACACGGTCATTTTTTAGTCGGTTTAAGTAAGTAAGTTAAGTATAACAAGATAGAACGCTACAGTCGAGCAAGCCCGACAGTAAAATAGCCTGTACTCTCCACAAAAAGGAAAAATTAAAAAAAAAAAAATTTAAAAAAAATTAAATTATTAAAAAAAATTAATGAATTAATTAATTAAAATAATTAATTAAATTAAATTAGAATACATGTTTATGTTCAGTTTAAACAGCATACATTTACATCACGTACCTATGCGTGTTTATATGCGTGTATGTATGCAGCACAAAGTTAAACCAAAGCAGCAACAACAACAACAGCTGCGGGCAGCGCTGCCGACAGAGGCAGTATAAGTATAACAAGATAGAACGCTACAGTCGAGCAAGCCCGACAGTAAAATAGCCTGTACTCTCCACAAAAAGGAAAAATTAAAAAAAAAAAAATTTAAAAAAAATTAAATTATTAAAAAAAATTAATGAATTAATTAATTAAAATAATTAATTAAATTAAATTAGAATACATGTTTATGTTCAGTTTAAACAGCATACATTTACATCACGTACCTATGCGTGTTTATATGCGTGTATGTATGCAGCACAAAGTTAAACCAAAGCAGCAACAACAACAACAGCTGCGGGCAGCGCTGCCGACAGAGGCAGCGCATGAGCAGCGATTTTACTTATGGCTATAACTTTCTTTAGAGTTGACCTATCATGATGAAATTTGGCACACGGACACATTAGTACTAACTGGATGTACCTACCAAAATTGATTTCAAAATTCCGAGAATTACGGAAGTTATAAGAAAAAATACGAATTGCGGGGGAGTGGGGGGGTGTATCAGAAAAAATAAACAAACTCGTTCTGCCTAGGGCTTATAGGAACCTTGATACCAATTTTGGTTATCCTAGCTCTTGTACTTACTGAGATCCTTGCGCTCATACAGACAGACGGACAGACGGTCAGACGGACAGACGGACATGGCTATATAGACTCGTCTTCTCATCCTGATCAAGAATATATATACTTTGTGGGGTCTGCCACGCCTCCTTCTGTGTGTTACATACATGCGCACAAAACTAGTATAGCCTTTCACCCTTTGGGTACAGGCTATAAAAATGTAAGATTTTTGTTTGTTTATGTGTAATGTGCCCTATTATAATTACAACACATTTATCTATCTAATTTTTACTAATATTATAAAGCCTAGTATTGCCACGCCTTACAATGCATCCCATAAATTATATGTGTAGTTTTTATTGAAGTTTAGAAGCGCCGTCCGATTGATATAACCAAAATTCCAACGCATGTATATATTGGTTTTGTTGCAAGTATTGACGACCAACGCTTTGCTCTGTGGCAACATCTCTAGGCAACGGGCGCCATCCTTACGGTACTTCAGAAGCCTGGTCTTAAATTCGTAGTACCAATACTGATTTGAGCCCATCCCGTGACAATGCCACTGCACCACTGGCGCATTACGTTGCGATGTGCGGACCTCCAGACACATTTTTGTTCTAGGCATTCGCAATTCCGATTGGAAGTTGACCGCCCAATGCTGTGGTTTTTGGGGGCGAACCAAATTATCGGCACAAGGATAAACGCCAATAGGCTGCGAAATATTACGTCGAAGAGAGTCCACGCTATTAAAAAACCAAATGTAATCGAGCCTATGATCTGCAAACAAAAGATGACTAAGTCTTACCACATGTGTGGATTTCCCAAATTTTGTATGGCCCCGGAGGCATAATTTGGCATATCGAAAGGGGGGTACATTAACATTATATTAAATGCCACATTTTTCAAGTACCACTGGAAGGATTTGCATTTTAATTTAGATCGCAAAGCTTTTTGTTTAGACAGATCCCCAACGTCGAAATTTTTAAATTTTGTGTACCAAGAAATATATTTTTTGTAATCATCCATCCACACCTCTGCCACCCGTTTCCTATTCTGTAAGTGCAGAAAATAGTAAGTGTTCATATATCTGTACATTAAAATAGCTTTAAATAAAAGTCAATTTTCTATTATAAATAAAATACACATTCCACTCTCATATCCCAGTGATTGCCAGATTGTTTTAAGGACGAAATATTAGTTTATATATAACTTTACTGATAAATGTTGATTTTTTATAACAAGTCGTTTCATATAACGTATGTAATATAATATCTTAAACTCTATTTAGCGCACTGTCCTTATATTCCACGATTGAAAATGTAATTTTTGTGCATGAGTATATTGGGGATTCGGGTAGTGTCTGTCCGCCTGTCCGTCCGTATGAACACCTGGATCTCAGATACTATAAGAGATTGAGACACCAAATTGTATTGTAAGATGCCTCCCCCCCTCCCACACAATTTGTGAATTTCCATAACTTCCGTAATTTTTTAAATTTTTTGAATTTTTGGAATTTTTGACACAAATTGCAGCCCGCAAATGTGGCTATTGTGGCTACTTTGGCTCAATTTTATACTGACATAGACACACTTCCTATGTATATGTGTAATTATATTTGAGTTCGAATATCAGAGGAGGTAAAATCGATGCCAAATTTGTATACTTCTTTAATTTTCTTTCTACACATACAGAGTATTTAAAAGTCGGGACATCAGACTAATAATGATGTTTAGTGAATGTATATATTATATACTTGTATATGGTTTTATATACCTGTAGAACATTTTTTATTAGAAAGCGTTTTTCCACACTTTTTTTTTTTTAATTTTCACGTTTATCAGTATCTACTTGTATTAATATTGACATTAAAAGTACTTATACTTTGTATTTATACCACAATCCCGCTAAAAAGCCACTTGGAAATTAAAGTCAATGTATTTT